GCCATTTCAGTCCTTGGAAATGCTGCACATGAGATTAACCACTTACAGCATCTCATAAAGATATAAGTAAATAATGAGATTTGTTTTGGCAACTCAGCAACAGCACATGACCTCTGGGAATGTAAAGTTGTGTCACTGAGGGAGGCATCAAAAAACCATGAACATCTTTACCAAATGCAACAATTAAGTTTGTTCCCTTATTGCAGGAATTGCTGTTCTGTTTGTTCCATTTCTGAATCTAAACAGATATTCAATTCATAGCTTTTCAGCCAAACACAGCTAGCCAGATCTTCTTGTAACTTACACATATCTGATCTGTACTCTGCTCCATCTGTTAGCAGGCTGTAAAGATTAAGCCCCGTGAAAGGACCTTTCATAACACTGCCAGCTGGACAGCAAATTCATTGGGCCCAAAAGAAAAGGAGAAGTTATACTGGAGGTGCAGAGGTTTCCTTACCATGTCATAGCAGGCTAAGTGAGAAAAAAAGGAAAGTAACAAACCATGTCATGAAAGACAGGACTCGAAGAAATGGCATGAAACTGTCTCAGCAAGGTTTAGGTTGGGTATCAGGAAAAGGTTCTTCACTCACAGGGTGTTTGGGCACTGGAACAGACTCCCCAGGGAAATGGTCACTGCACCAGAGCTCAAGAAGCATTTGAACAGTGCTCTTGGGCACATGGTGGGAATCTTGGAAATGCAGGGCCAGGAGCTGGACTCAGTGATCCTTGTGGGTGCCTTCCAACTCAGCTGATTCTGTGGTTCTGTGAACTAGGCATCCAGAACAGTAGCAAAACAAGAGTCTCTTACTCTTAGTATGTCGGCTTTAAAATATGTTGTTAAGCGACAACGCTGCTTTTTCATGACTCAGAACAATCTCCTGACATCATAATCCAAAGCAGGTCAGGACTGTATTAGTATTGAACAATTTATTAAACATTTAGCAATTTATTGGTTCACATTAGTTTTAAGGATAAAGTGCTTCATTCTGCTGGGAGCCTGACAAACTTCCAGCATGAATGAGATATGTGCATGTGCTCATATTAGTATTTTTTGTTGACATAGTTTAATCATATATTAGATGGACAGCTTAATCATATATTTTTTCTTATACAAACCAAAAATTAGTCCAGTGAATTCTGAAATATATTTCACTGAACCCCATGTTGTAGATGAGAGACCATTAGAGGACATTATACAGTCTTTTCTTCTCCTGGTAATTTTATAATTTTATTATACTGTGTGTGCATAACTTAAACTATTTTAACAATACAACAACAGAATAACACAGATGTTTTGAGAAAATTAGTCAAATATACCAGCTTTTGATACCTTAATCTAGTTTTCAAATTAAAACCATGGAACAGTCCGACATGTCTAATGATCTCTCTACAAAGATTACTGATTTGGTACATACTACAGGCAAAAAGCATGAAGCTAGTTGAGGATTTGAAAGAAAATATGAGGAGAAATACTTTAGATCATATAATCATGTAGGCTATGGCAGCCAAATATTATTTTACAAAACAAAGTTAATGACTATGGGAGGTCATTCCCTATGAAGACAACTTTAATCATACTGCAACCAAATGATTCTTTGCTGTAATCAACTAAAAGAAATAATAAAAAAATATTATTTATTTCAAATGTAACCGAGTCTTCCTCAAAATATACCAGTATCAGTGCAAGGGTTTTATTCTAAATGTCTACACTTTGTAGTTTGTTAGCAAACTTCTAGGCAATTAACACTGAGTGTGGGTGAGCAGCAGTATATTTCAGCAGCCTGCTGGAAAACACACAAATGACCTATTGCAGTTTTGCTTTTCTAGACTTGCCTTTATGAGAAACTATATAAACTATAGTGAAGTGCAATTAACTGCAACTGAACACCATTCTTAACCTTGTCTCTTGGAATCCTTCTTTAACTTCTCTCATATCAAAGTAAGGTAACTTACAATTATATTAATTTCAGTGATACTGTATCAAAAAATTCTTCAAAAGAATTTCAAGTAAATCTGACAAAGGAACTGACCTAGTGTCCTAGAGATCCTAACACTTCACCAGAGGATAAGAGTAACTCATCATGTGTCCAGCAGTAATCCATGTCCCGAGATAGAAAGAATAAATGAGGTAAAGAAGGTCTCTTGCACAGAAGATTCATTTTGAGCTGAGATTGCATGACCCTGAATATCCATTGGTGAAATTATGTGAAAAAAGAATGAATGCAGAATCAAGTGCTTGGGAAGGCAAGCCATGACTGGACCTATTTGGAGACATGAGGAACGGTAAGAACAGGCTTAAATTTGCATGTGTTTGTGTTTAACTGTTATGGCATTCCCATAAAAAAAAAAAAGTTCAGCACTAAGGTCTAAAAAATGCATTTTGCTAAGAAATGAGTGTATTTTTAAATATTCTTCCTAAGCCTGTGGTATCTTTTTCCAATCATCTAGAAGAAAACAGTGAAGAGACATTTTAATTCTCTGTGTTGTAATATTACATAAACTACTGATCTACATGACTCATTAGCCCATTGCTTACTTCTCAGAAACACTCTTGATTATGACAATCCTGCTTAAGATAAGTAATACGAATCTTATCAAAGGCTAACATTGGAACTTCAGCAAATAATCTAAAGAATACATGTACAAGAAGAAACCTTGAAATTTACTTGGAAATGTGGCCCATTTTATTTTAACTGTAAAGCATTCATTATACAGTGCAAACAGTTCTTTGGTAAATTTACTGATTAAAATAACAACAACGACAACTTTGTTTTAGGTAACATTAAAAAAAGAAAATAAATATGTAAAATTTGCATCATATTACAGCAATATTCTCACAGTGGATACTGAGCAAATGGTCAGCTAGCCATTGGCCACTGTTTCAGAAATGTTAAAGTCAAGGCTGATTCTAAAGACACTGCAATAAAACTGAACTAGTACAATCCATGACTGATTACATTTTACACTGTGGATAAAGACCTTTTTTTCCTGGTTTATAAACAGATGGATGGTGGAAAATAACTCAGTATTAGACTTGTTACATTTGTTTAAGCATATCCAGACTCCTAAGCCGATTTTATATACCAAATGAATAAACAGTGAACAACGAAGAAAACCTCCCACTCTGGAGGCTGGAGAAAAGGAACAATCAGCTATAAGGTACTATTTTATAATGTATAAAATGGAAACTCTCTTCTCCTATAAGCAGAAATCTTGAGAAAATTTACTTAATATAAAATTGAAAAGAAAGAATGCAAGTAGTAACCAGCTGGATGTATTACTGCCTTATTTAACTGTTTTGACAGTTAAATTACATTTGGTTTAGCTGTGCAACCCTTCCTCTTTGAGGAATTTCTGCTATAGGTCAATGGGAGCTCCATCTGAGTTGGAGTTACAGGACGAGACATGTGGTTTGGACTCTCAAGAAAAGTCAACAAAACACAGAGTATCAAAGGAATACAGGAATGACAATCTTTAGGAACCATGTGATACTCAAACATGCTCGCCACACAATTTCTAGAAGTATTAACAAAGAACATTACATAAATCAAAACATTGTATATAAAATCAATTAAAATATTCTTAAAAATATAAATTGCAATTCCATGTGTACCACACACCTTTAACACAGCACTCACATGTACATATTGATTCTACCATAGTATGAAACAAAGTTTCTGTAGTAAGCTTTAAAGTTACACCGAAGTTTGAATGTGTGTCATGGTAATAGTTTATCAAATTAGAAATTATTAATGTTAGTAATCAGAGAAATTATGTGCCAAAATATGATAGTGGATTTCATGTTGCTGTGCTAGGTTAGTTATTAAACAGGTATTTGTTCTACCATGCAATAATTAAGTACTCAATCTGTTTGCATAATCTGAAATATTTAACATATGAAGGTTTAATTTTGTGCAGATTTCTTTCATACCCCAATCACTGTCCCTTGAATTTCAACACTTAAACTCAGAAGTCAGTGAACCATGTAACCAGTTCTGGTTCTTGTGAGTCCTGGCTTTGGACTAAAGGACAGGGCAATAATATCTAACAAATTAAGTATTCAGGGAAAGAATAAATTCTGAATAAACAGAATAAAAACTGTAAAATGAGGTATGATAGTTGTCCTTCACTCAATCTAATTCCTGGTCAAAAACATACAGTTTGCATCCTATAAAGTACACAACTTTGAAATGCTATTGTAGACATATACTCTATAATGTTAAACATTGAAATGGGAGATGAAGTCCATTGATGGACCATTTTTAACACAAATGATAAAAATATTGAGGTAAATATATGTATTCATTAGATGAAACTGGGAAAAAAAATCAAACACCTTGTCAGAAAAAGTAGTCAATCCACAATTAATCATGTTGCTTGATTTTGATTTTTCCTTTTTTCAACAGTGCCACAATATAATCAGGAACATATGTCTATTGGCAACGTGCACAATGAATCAGTAGGAATCTTTGTATACAAAATGGCATGTGACATCTTTTCACATTTTCAAAACAGGGCCATACAATTACATGAGCTGATCTGAGATAAAGAGAAGCATGCTTTCAAACTGACCTGGATGGTTATGTTACAAAATTTAAAATAAATGAAACAAACAAACAAACAATTTCATCAAGCAGTTATAAATGTTTTGACAAAAGGATTCTGCTAATTTTTAAGATCAAATGCTACTCTGTCATGCATGTTTTCCTAGAATGAGGAACACTGTCAATTATATCTATTATACACATTCAGTTGCTTTTGCTTTCTTCCAATTACAGTTATTTATATTTCCTTACTAATTCTAGCTTTTATTGCTTTCAAAATTTGGTTAATTTTGCTCCTTAAATTAAGGAAAGGATGTTGAAAGGTGTCAAGTGGCTTTCTTTATTTCCTTGCTGGTCCAGGCCCAGCAGTGATAGTGTAATTTAACAGAATTTCCATGCATTGATGTTTGCAGAAACTGGCCTGGATATGGCATTGCTCAGGCACAGTGACCTCGTGTTTTCCTTTTCCTGGCATTTTACTAAATAACAGCAAAAAAGTTAAGTATCAAGACAGACTGGTACTAGAAAGGGACATTTACTTAATGTTGCTAAGTAAAGATAGGAAACAAAGTGTTCATTTTAGAGTAAATCCTAAACCCAGTCATTTTGGGTACCTAAAACTACCCGACAGTGTTCTTTTAAAGTAGCACCAGTTCGAGTTTGTCTAACCTGAGAAGTATAACACACAATTAACTTTGACCTGTTTGCTATTTTCCCTTTTGTTAATTTTTGCATTGTGATTCACCTTCATGGGCAGAAAATAAAATGATACATTATGTTATACTGTTACAGCACCATTAGAATATTGTAAATCTCTATTTCTTGCTGTTGTTAGGACTGCAGTTACCTGTTTTTGCCATCAGCAGGCACTGATATGATTTGAGGAGTATGCACCCTAAATTATTAAAAAGCAGAGTTATGGCTTCTTTTTATTAGTAGTTTGTTGTAAGCAGACTGGACAGCAATCTCCTTTACCCTTCACAGGTGCTTCGCAGTCAGTGGGCGGGCACGATTCTACAAAACAGGTAATCTGACCACCCTGTGCCAGGGGAAAAATGACAGAACAAAAACAAACTTAGCTACGTGTTCCAAACAAAAAATACATTTTTCATGTTATTGCAGAAAATATTCTCATTCTTTCTCTGTAAGAACCTGACTAATATGGTAACTCCACAGAGTCTGTTTCAGCTGTTTCAGTATAAACTTACATTGAGAAAGTTAAGGCACTCTCTGGATTAGCTCATTTTTTGATAAAGCAGCCTATATGCTTTTGTCCAACATTCAGGTGTGACTGGGGTACTAAGCACTAACGTATTTTTCTACTACCTTTTTAAAAATTTCTCTCTGATAGAAGAAAATTACAATCTAGCAATAAGTTAGATGAGCTTTTATTGATTTTTATGCATTTGGTTGGATTTTTTCCAAAGTGTTTCACTTTGCAATTAAATTCACCCATATAACTATACATCCATGAAAATAGAAAGATAATAGATAACAGCTGGATTGAAAAATCATGTCCAGGGCAGGGACGTCTGAATAATATAATTTTCTGCAAAAAAAACCCTGAGAACCATAAAAAAAAAATTTGCAAGTATTACCCAGAAATTATCAGGTACAAAACTGGAACTGCTGTTTTAGAAGCAAAATTATCATTTCTATCACTAAAATAATTTCCACATACTTACTTTGCATTCACACACAGTACAAGGGTCCCTTTTCCAGGTTTCATTGCTGGAATATGATTTACCCTCTTCATCAGTGCAATCAGAATTACTGAGGCGTGATTCAAGTTTTTTTATCTGAAAACGTTAAAAAAAGTTAGCAACTGAATAATAAAAAAAAAGTTTTCATTTGTGTAAAGTGTTCTGGTTTGTCTCTTATGATACATGCTATATAATCTTTTTATACTTTTCTGGCTTTTTCTTCTCACTACTTAGTTTTTATAATACTAAAAGACTAGAAACAGGTAAAACATATGAAGATAATCTTTCAAAAGAAAGCTAACAGAAAATATATCTTTCCTACCATTGAAATACTCAGTTAGAGCATACAAAGAGAAAAAACTTCATGTTTCATCTACAAAAAGAAAAATTTAAACTGTCAAAAATGTCTTGGAAAGGAAGTGAATTTTAGATTTCTTTTAAAAAAGCACCTTAATTAAAAATGTTTACTTGAATTTTTAAATAACTTCTGTTTGGTGTACATTTTAAAAATGGGATTCCACCATGGCTGAATAGAGTTTACCCGCAAACATTGTGAAGTCTTCTCTAAGTGATCTAGAGCTTAAGTCTGTTTATAGCTGTAGTCTGGCACATTACTTCTTCTGAAGTCTGCATTTTAATCATTGCTTTACAAAAATTGTACACATTTCAAATGGTAAAAACGATTTTATTAACACTAACAACAAATTTTTAGAAGATTAATTCTGTTTTTAGTATACAGTGGTTATACAAGGCTTCAGGTTCAAAAGTCAAGAGGGTCCAGCTGTAGAATATTTCAGTATGATTCCAAAAGAACACAGAAATAAAGAATACCACACCATCTTCTGTGTTGGTTTTTGTTTGAGATGGTGGTGGGTATTTTCTGCAGGGGATGTCTAAATATTAAAGAACGTAAGACAGATGTTAGGAAAACATTATTAATTAAATCTACAATCAGACATGATAGACTACAATAAGTTCATTATAGCATCTTACCTGATTTCTGAGGCTTGAAATAGTTTTTTGCATTTCCAAAACAAATTCCTTGAAGTCATTCACTGCGGGTACATTTCTATTTTCATCAGATGTGGATGTTGCATTACGAAAATATTTACTCTGTTTCACAGAACTGCAGCAAATAAATGCTAAGTCAGGATATTCATCTAAATCCTTTTTATTTAGCTAGATATTTTAGGACACTTAACAAAAATGTAGAAGAAGAGCAACCAACAAATGTAGGAATATGAACCGCAACAGTTGGTGCTGAAGACAGACTCAGGACAGGTGAGCTCCAGATTACAGTCAACATCACTACCAACAGGGATTTTCTTATACTTAGAAAAATTATGTATTTCATGCAAAGGTACACAAAAAGTTGTCACCAGTGACACTATACTGCATCACCTTAAATTCACCCCTGATCTCCAAGGAAAGCAGGCCAAGGTAAAGGAGTCTTAAAAAGTGTTCCCTCCAATATGAAATTCACATTTCACATTCTGAACCATAGATTCTTCCTCTGCAGGCTTGTAGCAAAACATGTATTTTAAGAAATATGAATTTAAAAAGGAGAATGTTTGGTTTCACAAATAAATGAGAAGTAATTCTAGGTATGAACATATTTTTGACTAACATTTGACATCAATACTGCTTATAGTACACAAAATCTAAAGTCTTGTCTGTGGTGTTTTGAATCCATTTACTTTTTTAAAGATTCTTGAATCCATTAACAATTACAGGCATTACTATTTGGTTAGCATGTAATCTCCAGTGCTAAGGGATACCCAAAGAATGAACTGGCAAAGAAATTCTCATATATCAGGGCTCAGGATTTATAATCTTTCTGCATAAATTAAAGCAGCACTTCCTGGCAGGGGTTCAAGCTACTTAGTTTCCCATAGTTTTTAATCTAAATTAGAGAAAAAGAACTCTAAACAACATAACATGCCAAAGTTCAAGTAAACCAGCTGCTATTGTATAACAAAATATTTAATCTTCCCCACCTGTCCAAGTTATTGAAAATGAGAAGCTAAAAAAAAGGAGGAAAAAACCTTTCTCACCACAAATGCAATTTAAATACAACACTGAGCATGAGAATTCATGGGAATGTTCAGTGACTGAGGTTACTTTAGCTTTATTTATGCTACAAATGAAGTATTGTAAATCTACTATTTTGTAGTCCTAATTACTAATTGGACTGAAACACAGTCAAACGAGCTGGTACTTAGATGTAAGGTTTTTTTTTTTTTTCTTGCTTTCATTTTGACTTAATTTAACTCCTATTACAACTTTAGAATTATGGGACTAGGCACCCTTAAAAACTGAATTGCTGTTTTGTAAATTTTTCTAGCAGTTCATTTGCAAAGATGGACAAAACATCCTTCTTCAAGGATTACTTCAAAGGAACTTACCTTTTCATATTATCTATTATCTACCAGCCTATCCATAGCTGCTGTCTTCTCTTGTCTAAAATCCTAAACACCTAAAGGATCTTTTATTTCGGGACAGATTCCTCTCAATTGAGTGGAACATAATCATGGTATTCCTTCAAGTACCATAATACCTCCAGAGTATTTGAAATTGCTGAAATTCATTTACCTCTCTATGTATCTGTCTAGATGCTTTCCTTGCCAGAGTGGGTAGACTCTGCTAGATCATCATCATCATCATCATCATCATCACTCAAATAGAAAGTTTTATTTGTTAAAAGAATGCATGCTGAATAGAAAGAGCTGTAATTCAGGTGTCTCAAATTTGTTCATCATGAAGGATCCTCACAAGAAATGGTCTGAGCAGAACTCATTTCAAGTCACTAATTCATAGCTAAGTTTTCATTCCCATGAAAGGGCAGGGACCTGTACAGCTGATAATTTGTGACTGAAACTGTGATTTACTTCCTTGCTATATTTTGAGGATTCAGGAGTTATAAACAATATTATTAGCACTGCTGTTCTCCATTGCTGCTTGAAGTATTTTAGCACTAGAAGCAATCCTTATCATTATCACAAATTTTTATGCAACTGAAATCAACACTTCGTATCCTCCTATTTCTACAGGAGAATCTAGAAGGTCCAAGTAGGAAACAAAATAATTTAGATTAATTAAGTTACTGCAGGCACTGTAGGAATGTGGCATTTCAAATCCCCAAATTACACTTCATTAGTGATTTTTTTTTTCATGAAAACTGCAGGAAGAACAAAAGTACTATACTTATACTACTCACAAAGAGTATTACACAAATTTGAGCTTGAAAAACAAGTGGTTAATTGTTAGTAGATATGCAGAAGTGTCAGAATAAAACACATCAATCATAAACTTGAGAAAGCAGGAACTGGAAAAAAGTGGCATATGCTCCCAAAGAAATCATTCAGTTTCATTCCATTTTGAAAACAAAGGTTTTTTTATAATTCTTTTGAAAAAAAAGTCTCACCTCACTGATTTGGACATTTTCATTTTCTTCAGGGGCTTGTCCTCCTGAAAGCTGTAGTCAAGAGAACGTCTTCCCCGAAAGTGATACGAAAATGCATTAAACTGTCCTCTGGTTCTACAGTCTGAAAACAGATAAGAAATTACAAATAAACTACAGCCTATTTCAGCAGTTACAATATTAATATGGTTTGGCACTGTTTTCTGAATTGGTAAAGGCAAGTCATACATTCAGTCTGATCCCTCTGGAACTGGTTGATGGCAGATGAATAAATCTCAGTGATAGAATATTTAAGCTAGTTAGATGCAGACAATGTGATTACCCACAGACCAGCTTTTTAGTGTGAAACAAAGGAATAAATACAATTTAAAAAAACCCATATAGTGCTACTTTATTCTTTTCACTTCTGAAATTTTCACTCTCTTGGCTTTTAATTATTTTCTGGGCAAACAGGGCAGCTACACAGGAAGAAAAACAAAGACAGAAAAAACGCTTTGTGGGTACCTCATCTATCTCAGACATCTATCGCAGCCATTCAGACATCTGAAAGAGAATTTTGAATTTAATTCCAAATTTGCAGACATGCTTTATAGGTTGATGAGTCTTATTTCCAAATCTGGGGAATCTGAATGTATCACCAGACCCTAAAACTCCTTCCACCACAGAGCAAAAATCTCAAGCCTGAAAATGAGCTATGACAGAAATCTTCTAAGATATGAAAAGGAGATCTTGGCAGGATAAAGAATGTCTTTCTTCCAGTTCACTTTATTTAGCCTTTCAACCACAGTGAGTATTTGGAAAGAGTCCCATTTAAGACAGAAAAGGAAAACAAAATAAAACTGCAACAGCGCTTGATAGAGGAGACAATGAGAAAATAGAAGTTTTCTCATTTCTGTTCACAGAAGCTTTAAAGCTAAAAGTTATAATGGGCCAAGCTGAGGCAGGAACAAACTACATGCTCAACTGCTAGAAGCAGAGTCTGCTAAAACCAAAGGGAAAGTCTAAATAAAGGATGCCATAGGCATTTCTCAGCTAAGTCTAGTACTAGCAGAATTAGCCATGAAAGCAACTGAACGTGGGAAGGAGTAATTTTCCATAATGTTTCTCTTAATTTGCACCAAAACAAATTAAATCTGAATCTCAGTAATATTTATAAAGTATTTTTCTGGAATTTACATTGAATATGTGAAGTATTAACACAAATTACCGCAAAAGTTTCAAGTCTATAAACACTGCTGAAATGAGCAACTAGAGAAACAAATGGAAGGTTGCTCTTATTACAAAAAATAGGTACTTTGGACTACTTTTAATTGTGTTGAACTTTTATGTATATTAAAATATTATAATTTCTCTGTTAGGAAATTATGTTTGTCTTAATGGCTTAATATCATTTAAGACATAAAAAAAGAAGAGGATTACTGACAAAAAAAAAAAAATCAGATCAAAACCAATATCTACAGATCATTCTTGAACACATGTTATCCACAATTCCCCTTCCCTGTGCTTTCCTTGCTGTTTGTCCTATTCTTTAATAAATGCATTACTTTCCTCCTGCAACAACAGCACCCACCAAAGAACTACATGCTATTTGCTGCCAACATATTGTTCATTCTTCTTGTGTGTTCTGCTGTTTCCCATATAACCTCCTTGCTGTCCACTCAGAAAGTAAACTCATTCAGATGGGAACAGACCCATGTGTCTGTAAGAGGCTCGGCATGAAGGCATTTTTGAACACCCTTAGACACTTCTATATTTAGTATGGTGAGAAAAAGGATCATACTGAAAGGTTCCTGAAGAAAGAACTAATTCTGGTCAGAGGAATTTTTTCCTCAAAGCAATGTGCTGCTTAAAGTTTCCCTGAGTATCACAAAGTCTCTGGTTTCTCTTGAAAGCAATATGTGAAAAGTTTCTGCTATCCTCCTTTGTTTAGTAACTGCTATAGTCCTTACATAATACAGATTTTTTGGGGTTTTTTTGTACAATAACACAATGGCCCATTGTTTTTTTCATTCTTAGGTTGTTTCTTAGAAACAAAGGTCTGAAATCTTGGGAAGGTTTTATCACCTTAGACTGGTAAATATGAGAACCATATGTTCAGTGGCAGCTTTAAGTACACAGATCTGACTTTCTGACTTTTTTAAAACTCAAATATGTCAATGTGCCAAATTACCAGCTCATGTTGTTGGTTTCTCTTTCAGGTGCAACAGGGAGGAATGTCACTGCTGAGAGGTGCAGGACAAAATGCATCAGCTTTCAGACAGCCTAAATGAAGAAATTTCTTCTCTCTCCTTTTTTTTTTTTAAACTTTTATTACTAATAAAGAATATCTTAGCAGTAGCAGTAAATAATAAAAAAAAGCCTGAAATTCTTTCCCCTCCCCCCCAGCTTAACTAATATGTCCCCAGATTAGTTATACCCATTTAATTAGCTATATACCATTTAATTTCCTGCAGAAAAAGTGAATGTTTAAAGTGACCTAAGAATTCTTTTTCTCTGTGGACAGTTTTTTCTTCCAGAAGTTACCTACTGTTACAATGCAAGTGTCAAGCTGATCCATTTACAGAATCACACATAATCACAGAATAATTTATGTTGGAAAAGACCCCTGATATCTTCAGATCCAACCTTTGACCAAACACCCCCTTGTCAACTAGACCATGGCACTAAATACCATATCCAGTCATTTCTTGAACATTTCCAGGGATGATGACCCTCCTACCACCTCCCTGGGCAGCCTGTTCCAATGTATAACAACCCTTTCCATAAAGAAATTGACATTTCTATTTGTATATGGAAGCCATGTCCACATCTTTAGAAAATCCTGTTTCCCACAAGGTTTTAAAAATGCAACTATTACAAAAATTGGATAATAAAAAACCTGATGGAGAATTATAGTGCAATCTTAATTCTCTATGAATCACTCCTCAAAATCTAGGCCATGGAGAATTAATCTAACAGTAGATTAAAACAAAACAACTTGAAAGACTGAGGAGATGTGAAGCAAAGCACATATATCTATTTGATACTAGTTTGATTCTCCAAGATTTATTGTAGTGAATTAGGTTGCTTTTACTGTAAGCATTTGTATTAAGAACTTGTAGACATGCCAGTGGGACCAGTAAAAGGGTGGAGAAACTAAAAATATCTGATGTAAAATGATTTTTTTAAGTAGATGTTTTCACAAAGCAGCTACTTAAAAATTGCACAACATAGGAAAGTGACTTTTCACACAAAATGAATCCCTAACTCAAAAGAGTTGGTTTTGTTATTGCCATAATGGGCCACAACCCTTCACACTGGACAGTATATCTTAATTTATTCTGTTGAATAAGACTTTCTAACAAAGGATAAATTGAACACCACCAAAAATGTAATGTGGTGGTCTGAAATCCCACACTAATCTGCTCAGATCAGAACAGATATATTTTGTAAAAAGATTAGTTAAACATCTGAAAAGGAAAATGTATAGAAGGTAGAAGATGAAGTAACATCTGCATCAGTTGTCATCTGCCAGCTGATACACTGGGGAATTTTGAGAATAAAGATGTTTCCTGTAGTTTATCTCAAAGCTCACAGACTGAGCTTCAAGATCAGTCCATTATCAGAACTAGAAGGTTCAGATGCTGTTGGGAAAGCAAATGTCCAGTTTGATAATATATAACTAATGATAAGACTAAAGATATTTAAAAACATATCATGCTTTCATGATCTAAATAGGTCTTGGATGGTCTTCAGGTAGATAAAGGAGAAACATTAGGTTCTTGCCACCAAACCAAAGCAAATCCAAACCTCTCCAGTAGAAAAATTAAATAGGACTAGTTAGGGGATTTTGAAGATCAAAAATATGCAGCTTTTGGAATACAAATCAGTAAGAAAAAGTAATTTCAGAAGGACTGAAAATCTATGGAAATTTTTAAAATAAAGACCCTAAGAACTGTCCTGCTCACCAGACTGTGAAGTCAAGAGTGTCTTAGAAAGGCAGCAACAGTCCACAGAAAAGAAGGAAATCCTCCAGCTGCCTAGATTTGTAGAAATCACTGAGACAATTCAATTAGGATGCTTTCCTACCCATGTTGATCTTAAGAGTCAGTGAACACTGACATAAGGCGAGATTGCAGCCTGACTGTCCTCCAGAAACATCTCTTTATTGCCAGCAGTGGAACTTGGACAGATCTGGCAACTCAGTCAGGAGTTTGAATTTAAACACAATGACTGAAGCCTGTTGCTTCCCTGTTGCTCTTTGGAAGGGATGGCAACTACTGGCATGAAACTCCTGGTAGCAAAGACAAAGCAATGTCATAACTTAAGTCTCCTTATTTCATGTTTATGAATGTAGAATTGTATTTAATGGATCACAGATACCTGAGAAAGATAGAATATTTTTGGTTTGGATGAAATACAAATAAAAATACTGATTCTCTAAGTAAAATTTGTAATCATACAAAAATACTGGGCTATATTAAATACTTCCACTCAAAGATAAAAAGGATGACGTCTTTATAATTATGGACCCTGGAACTTAATTTTAGTTGCCTGGCATAGACTAAATAGTTACTAAGCTAACAGACACTGTCTTTAAATGTAAATTTAAATGTAAAAAGATAATTTGAACGTAGAAAGCAAAGGTATATGACCCGACCAAAGCATACAAGTTCTGGGTAAAGACAAAACCTTTTCAGACATAAATCACATCATTTTGGTATTTTGAGAGTTCTTGGTGAACAACATCCTTTGTCAAAAAAGAACTTCCATTCTCACACAGAGATTTCTGTTAACATTTTAAAGTGTTATTTCCACAGAATTTAGTGCTTTGCCCAGTGCTGTTTAGTATTCTCATTGAGGATTAAAGGACATAATGAGAAGTGCATAGTAAGAGATTAATGCTGTCAGTAGAGAAGCAATAGACAGCATAATTGTTTCTCTGGTCTTAAAATACAAGAGTTCATAAATATAGGTCTTATATACTGAAAGAATTCAGATTAAGAATGTATTTTAACTCTTCTAATGAAATTCAGTGGGATTTAAATGTTTGATCATAATTTGTATAAGGCTGTATTCCTGAATTAAACAAACAAACAAAGATAAAGAACAATATCTGACAGATGAAACAGGCTGTTCACTAACTGAGAAATAGTTAAGAAAAATCTTTCCAAATCAGTTTACACTTATAAGGATGACTTGTATCTTATCTGAATCACTTCCTCCAGGGTCATTGTCCATTGTCCTCCTGGGTCCATGTGAAACCTCAAGGGTTTTGACATAAAACAAACGGTTAAAGAAATTTTTTACTTCGGCTTACAAAAAAAACCCCCACAAAACAAAACCAAAAAGTGTGAAACTTTTAAAGATTTACATTTGAGTAATCATGAAAGCCTACACTGATTACTTTAAAAAAAGAAAACAAATTCAAAATACACTTCTTGCACTAGAGAGCCTGAAACAAAGCACCAAAAGTTTCTTGTTTGAAATATTTGAAGCTTGAGTGCTCTTTGACCAAATAAAGAGCAGCAGCAAATCCAGCAATTACTCATCATCTCTGACAAGACAAAGAAAGGTAGAAAGTGAAGGAAGACAGAAGAAAACTTGTGCACTTCAGTGGGACTCCTACTTTTTGCCATAATAAACTAGTAATTCTGTTGTATGATTTGCCAACTGAAATCTAAAGGTAATCTGTTCTTTTTATTATTATAAAGAGGAATAGTTCTTTGCTTTGTAAGAAGGAAATGCTATCATTATTCAAAAAACAAGGCAGATTTTTATAACTAAGAAATTTTTCTATTCTTCATATGGAAAAGTATTTTGACTTTTAACAAAACAGGAAGGACAACAAAACCAGATGTGTTTTTAACCAGGCTGAAATAGCTGAACACATGGGTCACTCATGAAACATACATAAAGGGCAATGAGCAATCTTCTGTACTTGAGATTTAAACTTAGGATAATTTTAATTTTAAAATCAATAGAAGCATTTTAAATCTGGAGAAGGGTTTAATTTTTTTCTTTTAAATAATGAACAATAATAAATTTAAATAAACAAATCCCTTTAATATATTCAACTCAAAGTAAATGTTCCTGAGTGTATGCCCCACCTCACAGGAACAGTGGCTACAGAAGGAAAGAAATTTTTTATATCAGTTACTTAAACTGGATTCCACAGAAAATGACACCATCATTCATCCGTGCAAGAAAGCAGTTCAAGCCACGCATACTTCACTTTCTCTTCATTAACCCCTGCAAGGCTTCAGGAGTTCAGAAAAAGGGGATACAAATAGGAAATTTTTCAAAAAACTGTACTTATTTACCCTTTCTTTTTCTTGACAGTTGTCTAACTGTGCTGCATCCAGTGGTATTCTCTGGTAGCAACTTTCTTGAATGAAAGTGCAAACTGGGTTGTTGAACACAAGAATACTCTAAAGACTTTCCAAAGATAACATCTGTTCTAAAGGGCTCAGTGATAACAAAACATTTAGAGAATCAACACATAATTTCTCAGAACAGCTTTATCTTTTTTACAAATCAATATAAAATATGTATTTGTGAAACTGTCTGTCAAGCTTCATGAACCATGGCAAAGTGAACTTATCCTGAATTTGAAGAATGTGCTTTATTTATGGTAAAGCATTTAAAGAGTGATAATTGATCTTTCTCCCAATATTTCTGGCATATGCCAGGGAAATTTTGAAGAGATTCTGGAAGACTTTGTATTAAAATTACAATGTGTCAATAATGTCTAGCTTTTTAGAAACTATTATCATTAATTTGGGAATGGCAAACCTGTTTTTTAAACATTGTTTAAAAACCCAAGTAACTTACCAAAAAAAAAAAAAAAGCTGTAAAAATTAGAGTAAGGCCTGAATGATATTGTATATGGGGAATACTGTAGAGATCTTATTGAAATTGAAAATATTTATTTCTGTTAGTTTCACACTGATAACTGACATTTTGAACAGTCTTCAAGGAAGAATTTTCTTATAGAGTGATTTTTTTTAAAGACTTGTTTACTGGATAAGACAATACAGTAATCAGTTTAAAAGCTAAGTTATGCAGTAAATTTGAATAATAAATCTCTATTTACCTTTTTAATTATTAGTGATATCTGAGTTTAATTAATAGTGATAATTATTAGTGATATCTGAGTTTAATCAGTTTAAAAGCTATGTTATGCAGTAAATTTGAATAATAAATCTCTATCTACCTTTTTAATTATTAGTAATATCTGAGTTCTCATGGTACAGTCACATGACTATAAATCCTTCCTCAGTATTTACTGTATCTGTAGCAGACTGAAGAGACATCCTCTATCAGTTTAACTTTTACTTTCTGCATTAAATTCTGAGCTGTATCACAAAAAAAACTTTGTCATTGTGGACAATTATATTAATTTACCAAAAGAGTTAAACAGATAAGACACTAGTGGAAGATTATGACTTCTTTAAAAAATGAAATCCACCAGTTCTTTATACATGCATTTCTTTCAACAGAATATTGAATATCCTACTCAGCAGTAGTAAACTCAAGAGAATCAGCAGTAGAAAAGATGAACACAGATCTGGATACCTTTCATCACCAAATCTACAAGGTATTAGTATTGAAATATATTAGGGAAATGATCAGATTCTAATAATATCAACCAATACTACCCTTATCCCCTGAAATAAGAGCAAGGCATTTCATACTAGGACTTTGTTTGACAGCAATTTCTCAATAGTAAGAGTTCTCAAAATTCCTGAATATACTTTTACAGCCTGGGCATGCCATTTGAATTTTGTCCAAAGAAAATGATAAAAACATTGTCAAGGAGATCTCAAGAAAGAGAGGTCATTGTCCTCTGAAGCATTTTGTTGTTGATGCTACTGAAAATCATTGTGCATGATCCAGAAGATTCTCTTGGGAATGGATTCTAACTATGTAACAGTTGCAGAGAATTCTGATGTGACGATGGCTGAAGAGAGGCCACGCAGAAAATCTGTGAGACAGAAGCCAACATACAGGCCACCAAGCAGTGTCCTGTGCTCCATGCAGCTAAACAAATCCTATTTTAGAAGAAAAAAAGCTTATTTTTCAGGAAAAAAAAAATACCCCATGCTCCTAACTTTTGAAGGAGATGGCAAAGAATATTTATCCGCAAAAGAAAAAACCAAGTAAACAATTATCTACACCTTGCAAAGCTCAAATCAAAGTCATTTTTATGAAGTGTTTATTTAATATAGAATATGGAATGATTTCCCACTTAACAGGTCCTATGCTTCAGATTAGAATTTGTAATATCTTAACAAAATCCCCAAAATAGTAAAATATCTTCTTAAAATAGACACTTAACAAACTGCATACACCTCACTGCCCGCAAATCCACCTCTATACAGACCTTCACAGCAATCTTGCCACATTCTGAGGTCCAGTTTAGGAATATCTTCACAGCTACTATATCCATGTGGGAATTCAGCCACCTTAAAGACATCGTGTTGTACCCTGGTTATGTTGTCACCATTGTCACACAAAACTCTGGCAAGAGATGTCTGCTTGATCTGAGTGAGCTGAGCAGGCGTGAACACACCTGGGTTTTCATACCATAACCTGTAATCTCACAGAAAAGACAAGTCTGCTAGTGAAAAGAAACAAGTGGCAGTTTTTCAAAGATATTTCAATGCTGTGTTCAGAATGAAAATTATTATCTCATAAATCCTGTTCTCTGGGAACTGGACTGATCCAAATGCAAAAATCTTAGTTCCTGGTGTAACTTCAGCACTAGCTGGTGTCATGCTGACACTCTGAAAGGGATGAAATCTTCAAGGAATTATTTGATTTCTCTTCTATTCTCATTTTGATGTCTTGAGTATTTCTGGACATCTAAAATGGCACCAGACTACGAAGTTAAGGGTTCTTTTAAGTAAGAAACTTAAATGACCATAATTTCTTTTTTTAGGCAACCTCTTATGGTCATGAAAACCTTTTGATGGAATTGCTGAGATTAGAAGAACAGTTAATCTATTTCTAGTTTACTATGAAGATAAGTGAGATGATTTAATTCACTAGTGATTTTTTTTCTGTTAAACTATTTTCATGACTATATTGATTCAGGGACTTTCTCATACATACTCAGTTAATTAATTATATTCAAGAAGTAAACACTATGGTTTCAAATAGTTTTTCATACATAAAGGGCTAAAAGCCTGTTATCAATAGCAAATATAAATAATACATTACCATAAAAAGAAAGCTTCAAATGGAAAAGAAAATTTCTTAAGTTACTGATTCTAACTGCTTACTGTTCAGACTGCTTGCATTGTAGTATGCATAGGGGTTATATATAGAGAGTGATGCTGTCCCAACCTATGCTTAAGTAACAACCACAATTTCTTTGCCAATAAAATAACTCAATAACCATAAGAGAAGCATCATGCACTTTTTCAAAAAGGCAAGTGACTTGAATACCTGGCAAAAGGAAACTCAACATGTGCTGGCTGTTGTGTTTTTGGGGGTCAGTATGACATTCACCACAAAAAGTAACAGAATTAATAAGGAATCATGGCTTCTAGCCATGTTTTAAACATGTATTCTTCATCTTTTCACATATATTTTAAAATCATAAATGAAGATAAAATACAGTTTGTTTTGGAAACATGACATTGCAACTGTTATTAAGCATCCATAAGTTAAAATTCATTCTGGTTTCCACGGTATTTTAATGTACCTGTCTCCATCCCGAATACGCCTGAACTGTGTGCTTAACAGACACATCAAAGTTGGCCCCAGTCGACTCCCTGGAACTAAGTCTTCCACCATCAGAGCAGGAAATAGGTCTATGTTCAGTGGGGAGCCATACAACCTACAAATTGAAAAATACAAATACTGAATAACAAATATTTTATATTTACAAAATAATCAGTTCATGGTGAAGCTAAGAGGTACAAATAACTCACAGGAAAAAATGTATTGCTAGCACTACATCTTTTGTGAACAAGCTGTGAGTGTATACACAAGAAATCCTGCAATGCAGGTTGTATACACCAGGTGGGTCTTCATGTCTAGCCTGCAATTTTTTTTCTCCTAGAAGCTTTCTTCTGATTTCTTAGAAATGTTTCTTTTTTATAGTTTATCTTTCCTGTGCCTCTGTGCACTCTTTCTGTACACTCTTTTTATATTACTAAAGCTGAGAGAAATTCTCTGTCTTTAATTTTGAGCAAATAAGCTAGGGGTGGCAGGTAGATGTAGACTTTCAAACACTGAATCTCTAAAAGAAGAACTGATTACTGGTAGTGAAGGATGTCCACATGATAGTACAGTGGACAATACTGACATTTGTTTCACTGTACAGAATTAATTGAATTGAACATCTAAATACTTGCATGAAGTTGGCATTTAATATGACCTGACACTGAAATAGCATCCATATTTAACAGCATTTACAAAACTAGGCATTTCAAATTAATAATTTCATTAACACATGCAGTATATATTACTGTATCTATACTGTATATATTCCTACTGTTCATAGAGATGCAGAAGTAGAGAAATTATCTGAATGTGGAAATTGTTAACATCTATTTTCTGGTACGGATGGAAGCTTCTTAAAAATCCCATTAAGTCTTAGCAAGTATCTTTTTCTAAATAAGACATTCAGATAAGGCTTTTGCATGCACATTTAGATAATTGACTTTTTCTTCACCTCAGGCTCACCTGCTAAGTTTCTCCCTGATTTCAGGATTCTTAATTTCATTTTTCAGATCTTCAAAAGTCTGAGCTGAAGAAAGATTACAGTAAACTCTAAAATCATGGTAGGGAGGAATTCCATGATCTCTGCCTCTCTGAATATTCATAGCTGCCAGATCTAAAGCCACAGTACGTGCCATGGAGAAGAGTCTTTCTGTTAATTCTGTATTGAGTAATTGTGAGGGGACACGCATCTTACCAGCAACACCAAAAAATCCCCTTAGAAGTGGATCAATGCCTCCTTCATTTACAATCCGAAATGGAGAGAAGAATGCCTTGTGAAGAGGTAGATGGCCTTGTGGAATAGGTTCAAAGTTTTCATCCAGTCGATACAGAAAAGGATTAATGAGTGTGTGACCAAACCTAAAAGCGGCAGTTGCAAACTCATTAGTTATGCCAGAATTAACACTGGGATCATAACCCTTATATTCGCCAAGCATCTTCATGCCTACCTCTCCAAAGATCTTAGGGAGCCAGTGGCTAAATGTTATGTGCTGCATTTCTGCACCAACAATTTTGCGTGTTTCATGATATATTGTGTCACCGTCCCAGTGAGGATTGAGTTTCAGTAGCTCTGTGGCAATTCTGTTGTGCTCTCTAAACCACAATGTGTGGATGCTGGTAAGACCCAACTGTTCGTTAGAGCGCTGATCACCAGCTAAAAAGCAGGGTATTGGGCTCTCATTCTCATCTCTCATACATTCTGTTGGTGGGCCAGTGGCAAATGGAAGAAGGGGCTTGCCAGATCTCTGTACAATGCCCTGCCTCAGAAGACCCCTTTGACTTGCCAAGTCTCTGATTTCTAGTGCTTCATGGTCCGAACTGCCGTACACATTGGACGCATCAATGTACGAGGTCAGCTGGTTGATCTGTTCTCGTGGATACACAGAATTCATTAGGAGAGATGTCATGCCGCTTCCACAAACTGGGCTGGAGCGTACGAAAAACATGCAGCGCGCACCATTTCTAACTCTGGGATCGTTTGGTGGTATCATGATTGAAAAGCATGGAGGATCATTTGTACAAACAGAACTGCAATGCTGACCATCTGAAAACCTGGCCTCACTTAGTGCAGCCACAGTGAGGTCAAGGTCATGGTCAAGAAACTGACCCCACTGCATGAGCATGTGAGTGTACTGGTCGTCAGGAGTTATGGTTTCCGTGCCGATCAGAGTAGTTGAAACCAAGCGAGGCATTGGGAGCGCATAGCCATTGGAGAGTCGTCTGGGTTCAATTCCCCGAGGCAAATTAAATCCATTATCATAGACTGACTTTAACAGACGTTCAAAAGCTGTCAGAGAAGCGCCCCACATGGGATGCTGAAGGTTGTTGCATGTTCCATCATGTGTCCTGTACTTCTGGTGGAAGCACATATCAGAGCAGTTGTTCACTCGTCGATGGGCTGTGCAGCCTGAGAGATTGGCTATCAGATTCAAGTACTGTGGGGATACAAGGTCATTATAGTGATAACCTGAAAGAGAAAACAGAGAAAGAAAACTGTCAGAGAATTCATAGACTCATGGTCCCCCCACAGATCATGAATGTATTTGAAATGCTATTTTGTTTTTTTATTTTATTTTACATTTCCCACCAGATTAAACATCCCTATTTTTAGATAAGGATAGCAATAATCATATATGTATATTTGAGCATTAGGCCATTTGAACAACTTCACAACCACTATGTCAGGAGGAAACTTTCTAAAATGCCAATTCAAGTGCAACTTTTACAAAATGATCACAAGAGGAGTTCACTACTTATTTGGTCACTTAGGAAAGCAGAGATATTTTCAGAAAGAAAAGCCTCATATTGAGACAAATAGAACATTTTTCTCATGTTACTAAAAGCATTTTAAAAATGTCAGTAACACTTAAATGCACTTCAAGACTTTAGCTTTTGAGGCTTGCTTATTCACTGAGCAATACTATTTTGTTTTGCTTTATTACAGTGAAAGTTGCAGATTTTAAGAAAAAAAAAAAGAAAAAGTAAAATATCACCAGCAATAGAGCTAAACGTGGAATGATCTCTAGGACAAATGTTGTGGAGTAACTCATATTCACATTATCCTGGACGAGTCTCTATACAAAAGTGGTATTTGTGTAGCATTTGGCACAGATTCCCTCTGCAATCCACACCATTCACCTCTGGGACTAAAACATACTTATCATTTTCCTGAATTTTTTTCTCAGTTCATAGAAAAATAATACCTACAAAATATATACTGTGATTCATTGGAGTTATGTTTTTAGAACCTCTAACTAAGGTTACGTACTGCATGATCTCTGTTGTGGTATGATGGCATGTGGAAGGACTGAAGACCATAAGGCCTCCCAGTACAGTGTTGGCTGACTGCAAATAGTACGAAAGTTAGCCTGTGCCTTGTCCTTGCTGCCTATTAGGAATCATTGTAAAAGTGATTTTTACTTAGTAACATTTGAATTTAATTTCAGGGGGGAAAATTCTGGCTACATCTACATTATCAATTTGTGTGGATCAAGAGAAATGTCTCAGTAAAGTAAAATTTTTGCTGCTGAGTAAGACATACCTACTGTAGTCCAGTAGGCTTTCTTCAGAAAATCTTTACTTTGTACCCCTAGACTGAATGTGGGCCTGGACCTGATTTTTCATTTAAGTTGAAAAGAATTCACATTGTTCAAGACCCTATCACAAATCATACCAAGGGAAGTAAGGGGGGACAACTTCAAAAAGGAGGCGCTAGTCCAAAGCAAAAGGCACACCATGAGTGACTAATGGATATAGAGCGTGGATGAACAAGGTTCCAGGATCCAGGAAAAAGTCCAGGAGGTGGAGTATTTGGCAGCGTAGATGTACATTTCGCTAACTAGAAACCATCATACACCACCAAGGATCTTGATTTGGAAAGCTTGCAGTCAGGAATAAAACCAAACAAACAGTATAAAGGCAAAAAGAAAGAAGGAAATGAGTGAGTGTAGAGGGGTACTGTGCTCCCACAGGCTTCAGGAGTTCCCAGCATGGTGGCAAGTGCTCAAAAATATGAACTGAATGCAGTTTTGCAAGGGGTTGGTATCGTTTAATTGCACACAGTTGGGAAATGTTACTTTTAGTCCTGAGCTCAGTCCCAGTGTGCCTGCAAAGACAATGGTCTTAATCTAAATTCAACACATAAACACGTGCTAGGGACAACTGGCTCTCTGCCAAATTCCACAACACAGGGCAATTGCAAACAAACTACCTAAAGCCCAGCCTTGTCTTTGCCTTGAAAGGGACTGGGTTGCTCAACTCAAGGTTTCTCAGCCAGGACCTGTGCTCAGCCAGGGAAGCTGTTTTCTCAGCCTCAGGCTATGAGTACTCCACATGGCTTGCAAGTCAAAGCAAAGATATCAGAGATGTAGTGCTTGCATTAGGCAAAGCTAACATGCTCCTGTAGACATACAGAAACTATTTTATTAAATATTCCATACTAGGAAAAAAGAAAAACAAACCACAGAGCAAAACTTTTAAGTGCCACTGGGTAATGCAGCAAAATACACACTTTGAGGATAGAATTGATAGATAGCTTATTAAAATATCCTGGCTACCGGGGCAGTTTAATTCTAGAACTATGCCCAGAAAACTTATCTTCTTTATAATAACACTGCTGTTTAAATTATCATCATTCATTATGGAGTTCTTTGCTTATGATAATTATTCATTCAAATAAACATTTGTGGTTATCCTGATTGCCACCCCCTCTTCTGAAATCAAGGTGTGAGCAAAACTCAACCGTGAACCTTTCGGGTGGAATGACCTTCAGTACAAATTTAAAATAAAAGGCTCAGGTTCTCTCTTTAGAAGTTCAAGGGGGATGTAATTTCTTATGATTGATTCGATTTTGGCTTTCTGATGCCAGTTGCTAATCTTTAATTACCTCTCACATTGTAGGCACTAACTTTGCCTCTGCTCTCTAAATGGCTGGGTGCTGGGCATTTCCAGTGCTTAGAAGCTGGCTAGCTCAATTCACAAATTAACTTTTTTTGGATTTTTCATAGAGAAAGATGTTTCATAGAGTCATAGAAATATTGATTATAAGGGACCTCTTATCCAGACCAAGTTCCTGCTGGAAGTAGAGCTGTTTCCAGCACTAGATACCTGTATAACTGGTCCAGCAAGCTTGAAAAACTGAGAAGTCTGAGACTCCTCCACCTTTCTGGATTAGTTGTTTCAGTGCTGCACTGGTCTTCTGGAGAGAAACTGTTTCCTAACATCTAACCTGAACCTCCATTAATGGCCATTCCCCTTGTTATACAGTCTGGCACTGTGAAGGAGAATTTGGCTGCATAGTCTTTCCTTGGGATATTCAAAGGTTTTGCAAAAAAAACCCCAAAATCTCTGACTGGGAAACTGTCACGTTTCTCAACTGTTCTCAGTGCTAAAGTGCTAAATAACACCTTTCATTTGGCTCTGTATTTCAAAATAAAATGAAATAAGGATAAAAATTGCTATTAAAAATTGGAGTATTGGCCAATTTAAATGAAAACAGATTTATTTTATTATTCAAGTTTCCCTAAAAGCCAGGTTTCTTTGGATGTTGTAGGTCTGAAAAGTAAGGTCAGATTGCAAAGAGAATTTCCAGTATCACAAAAAGTTGCCTAATTTTGTTTTTATTAACTAATATCCATAGGCTTTAATAACAGTTTTTGGTAAACCTTAGGTGTTTCACTATTATGAATCCTAGTCAACCAGTTCTCACACATCACATTTTATATATTGCTAGTACTGTATATTTATAGCATATATATTCAATATTCTTGCATATGCATCTAATGAGAACCAAACCAAACAGGGTGGCTCTTATAATACATCAGCCTTCAAAGAATTTTGAGTAAGGTTTTGTGGTAAACAATTCATCAAGAATTATCTACTCAGCTCTAACAATGAGTAACAAGCTGCTTTCACTAGCAAATGTGACAGTACACCACAAAGCTTGTTGTCTTTGGTGTTATAAATACTTGATAGTTCATGGCCAGTGTTAAAGTTTTCAGAAGTTACAATAAATACTCAATTATAAACATCAAAAAGAATATAATGAGTAAAAGTATTTCCTCTAGATTGTCAGTGTAGTTTTTGGCTATGTCTCAAGTCTCAAAAGCTCTCCTAAAACTCTATCATTATTTCCAAATGCTTCAGTCCTATGTTTCAAGCCTATCCACACATATATCTACACACATTAGCTGTATGTACTCCAGCTGGACTTCATGAGTTTGACTGGAATCCAATACCTAAAAGGCAGAAATTAAACCTCACTTTTTTTTTTCTAGTTATAAAAAGCAACAAAAACTGTGCTTCTCATCACATTATGTCAGTGTTAAACAAAGCAATTAGCTTAGTTTGACACTCATTTACAAAGTAGCAAATAATTCTTTGAATACTATTGTGGTACATGCAGAAACCTTGGTTTGTAAGGTATACAAATCCTTCTTGTTATGTCATATTTTCTCCTTGCCAAGGCACACTGATATTAAATGTTTTTTCTTAAAGAAACAGGAACAAAACACTGCTTATTTTAACCACACAACAGAAAAGTCTGTTCTACTATGAGACAATGATCCTAATAAATAAACACACAGAGAATTAACAAACAGGATATATTATGCACTTCCATTATACTAAGTTCGAACAGCAGAAGAATCAGAATCTGAACTTTTTCCTAATATGTCAATGTGAGAAAAAGCACTCCACTCGGAGAGCTCATAGTTATATAGTGAACAATGTGCAAACCAAGGATGGAATTTGGTAAAGCTTTGCAAAGTCAAATACTTCACTGATTTCAATGTAATCATTCTGCAGTTGGGACCAAACGTCAGAAAATGAATGTCTCCTGAAGTGTAATGACTTAAAAAGGCAAATACATGTCAAAATAGGAAAAAAAGGAAAGAATACTGACTTGTTCCATTCAGGTCAACCATTAGACCATCTTGTACATGATCTTGAATAAGCTGTAGGGTCCTTTCAAATATTTCCCCAGCTCTTGCTTGCTCAACAGTGTATGGGTCCCTTGGGTATCGAAATAAGGCTAGCAAATCATTTGGAGAACGAGGACGACTGATAGATAATTTGGAAAGAAATAGTAAGTGTACACAGGAGTTACAAAACAACACTACATAAATCATATAAATGTTCAGCAACATGATTAGTACATACCTTGGTTACTCATCTCAAAATGGAAGGCAAACCAAGAAGAAAAAAATTCAATAAAATAATAAAAAATTCAATATTTAGTAGTAATTAAATATTTAGTAGCATTTTAATATACATTATCTCAGCAGAAGAACTGCTGCAGTGAACAGAGATCTCAGCAGGAGTGTATGAACAATAGGAATCCTTACATGTTAAACTGTTAGTATTCTCAGAAACAACCAGACACTAACAATGCCTTTTAAGTAACAAAACGGTTTCTTGTTTAATAAATCTCCCATTATTTCTAGTATATACAAAATTAATTCTGACTTCTCAATTAAAAAAAAAAAGGAGATACCTGTCAAACAGATGTGTACGTGTTGAATTTATTGCTCTGTCAACAGTTGCAATTGCTTCCACAATTGACGTTTGTACAAAAGGATCTCCATTTCGGCTGACATTAGGAACTAGAGAAAAAGGAATTCACATGTTATTGCAAAAATGGCCACACACAAAAAGATACTTCCATAAAACAGTCTAGACACGACATCATTTCAGTTCTACAAAGTAAACCTTGTTCTTTAAGTCTTAGTTCATCCAAATATTAAATTCTTAACCATTTTGGAATGCTATCAAGGCATATTAAAGTAGAAAAAATTTAATTTAAAACAGAAGTTAACCTAAGCTTAAAAGTCATCTAGCTTATAACTCAAAACCAAGATAAAGATAAATGCATACAGTGTTTACTTGTCCTTTAATTAGACCTACAATTTCAAATGCAGATGACCAAATCAAAAATTAATTATTAAGGGTTTTTTTCTGGTGTATTATAGGTTTCAGGTGTTGGTATCAAAAGCCTGATCTATAACCACTGAAATCAATGCAGATTTCCGCTTTGATTTCAGCTAGTTCTGAATTTGTATTGAATTCAATTTAAGAACTTAAAGGGCTTACAGGAATGTGCTGCAAGTGGTACATAATGAGCATAATTTACATCATTGAATGAACATAAATTAACATTATTCTTCTCCTGGTCTCAGTATAATAAGCAACACAGATTAATTTTAGAGGGCAGTAAATATTTTTTTAATTTAGATGACTACTTTTTTTCCTACTTTACAGTTATCTATTTACAATTTTTTGTTCCCTACTTTACAATTATCTTTTTAACACTAGATTAAACCTCACATGCTTAAATGCTATTTAACAACCATATACAATACTGGAAACTCAATAATGCATAGGCCTTTTTATACAGTGCTTTGTTGCAGCTGGGTGTTTGTACAAACTATGTAGGACTAATAACCTTCCTTTCAGTGTAAACTAAGAACTACCAGATCCAGGGGCAACAGCTAACAATTTCCAGAGTGTGTTTAGATTGGAGAAGTCACACAGGAAGAAGGGTAAAGTAGGGAAAAAGTCCAAAGCAAATATATTGGTATAAAATCAGCAGATGTACAAAATCATCTGACATAAAAACTGCTGTTTATAAGCTTTTCATTACTTCTTTTTGTTGCTTTTTTTTTCCCTAGGCAACTTTTCATTATTCCTTCCTAAGTGGCAGCTTAAATTGTCTCTACATGAGTTTCATATCTAGACCCACTTAATCCAACTTAAACATTTATACCATCAAATAAAACAGTCCCTGGAACTCTATAGCTGCAGATGAAGCCCCTTTCTGTGCCCTGAGGCCAGTCTCAGGCTTTTGGCAATATATTCCCAACATCCAAAATCAGCTGACCCTTTCCACACTGCCTGAGGGCAGTAGTCCCTGATCCGTCCTAATTATCAACTGTACTTTCTTGACAGCTTCATTTTCAATAGCAACCATACAGAAACACTATCAGATAAGCTACTTTTTTTTTTTTTTATTATAGGAAAAAATGTCATTTACAGGTTTAAATCTTAAATTTTAGTTGTTTCAGCGTGTTTGTGTGCCTTGAATGATGTAAACAATGCAAAATTGCAGTCTTTAGAAATCCAGTGGCTGGTTACCCTCCTTAGTGCTGTCTACATTAGATGTAAACTTGGTGTTTACTTGCAGGGCTATCTTTCTGATTAATGGTATACATGGGCTGAATTATAAACCTTGGTCAGATGTTAACTTTTCTGTACTTGATTTTTGTTTAGATTATTTATTGCTAGCAGTTCTTTTTTTAGACTGATAAATGTTAGAAGTTAAAGCTCCTTGTAAGAGTCTCCCACAATACTTTTTTTTTAATTTGGGCAGGGAGGGGGAACGACTCTTACAAAACAATGGAAAAGGACAGAAGAAAATGGCTCAAGGAAAGCATCTTTAAAATATCCAACAGAGTCAGCAAAACCTGTTCACAGTTTCTATACACTTGCCTTTATTTGGTCTCAATCTTAGGAAAGTCTTTCGATTTAGAAACATTCATAAAACATTGCCCTGTTTAAAAGAAATGATGGCATGCAAGTTTTTAGGCATTTCTGGCTGTGCCATTATAAATACAATCTACACAGCAATTAACCAATACTTATAATCTGTCCACTTGTCCTCCTTGATTCTCTCACAGCATCAGCTTTTAAAGCAGCCACAGCGAAACAGCATCTCATATATCACTAGTTTGAAGGAGAAATTTCATTTATGGCTTCAGATGGAATGCAGATTAATTAAGTGTAGTTTCACTAAATTTAGGTTGATTTATGCTATAGTTTAAAAGAAATTATCCATATTACAATTATTTACTGCAAATCAGCTAATAAGTAGTTTTGTAGTTTGCTGATTTCAGCAGATGAGAATGATCAATTTACACCTGTACTAAGTGAATAAAACTCATCTCCACTGGGGTTTTATTTCATCTCATGGCTACATTTTTCAGCACTCTTAGTGACTTGAGAACTAGCTAATCTTTCCTAAACAAAAATGGGTTTTTGCTATGCATCTCCAGAGTAGCCAGATGAACTGATTTTCATAGACTTTCTTTCCTTTTCTACTTCATACATGTAGATAGAAACTTATTACTGAATGATTCTTAGCCTGACAATTTTTCTCTCCTAAATAATCTCCACAGAATAAAAAAATATTTTTCATAGAAGAAAACATAAAAGTCTATTAAAAGCCACCTAAGACAGGTAACATCATAGTTTTATTGATACCATGGCAAACAATACATTAGAAAAATCAGAGACACATTTTTATCAATTTAGTAAACAAAATACACAACATCCCAAATAACACTGGGAAACAATATCCAGTATATTGAAGATATCTTCACAGTAATTTTCAAAATACCAAAAAAATCACTGTTCTATACTAATCTTTTGAAGATACGAAAATATTATCTCATATTCCCAACTGAGAGGCAGAAATTGTACCATTTCTTTAATTTTCCATCAAAATTAAACTGAAAAATCAGTTTAGTCAATGAGTCAGAAAAGCACTAGGATCAATCTTTGTAGCAAATATATTTCCCTAGCTTCTTTTGCTGCTTTATTGCCATATATTACATAGTAATAATTGATAACTATTATTTGCCATTATTACTTTCAAATAATTAGAACAAGATCAAATATTCTCCTTTTCTTTCTGTTTTCTCTTTTAGCTTCTTGAGGTCTGTATGATGTTCCTGAACTGTTTTGCAATAGTTGCAGCCTAATTTTCCATGACATGCTGTAAGTGTCCCTTTGAAGATGCCAGAAGACATTAGTCGAGTTATTTCTAAAAATTAGACTGGGTATTTGACTAGCAAATTCTAAAAGCTCTAAATAATATTTCAGGAAGAAAGTTGAAAGATTAACTTGAGCCCAAAGCATAGCTGGTTTTGGAGCTTAACACCTAGAGATATTCCTATTATGACATTACCATCTTAGTAAAATACGGGAAAAAAAAGAAAGAATCATGGGAGGAAAATTGACACATGAATAAAATAACTAATTTAGTATTGCGACAACTTTGTTTCACCTTACATGTTAGACAATTAGGGCAAAACTAATAATCTAAGTCATACTGAGTCATTATCTTACCATTTACACTAAGCACCATACTAACAGAGGAGTATCCTATGGTGTTGCGGGCCACGCACTCGTAGCGCCCCTCATCGGCTGTGCCAACATCGCGAATGGTGAGAAACCCCTCCGGACTAACATGGAACTTTCCACTCTCAGTTACCTGCACTCCATCCTGCAGGAAAGCCCAAAGTTGACTTAATCAAAACACACTCATTTTCATACATGATTTTTTTGTCATCTTTTTCTCTTCTGCTTTAATTTTTTATTTTATATTTCTATTTTGTATGCCAAATTCACAGTCAGATAGTTTTAAATAAGTTTATATAGAAAAATCACATGTACCTCTAAAATATACATTATATTTCTTTACTTCTAAAATTACTCATTATTACAAATCAAAGTATTTTAATAGGCATTCACCACATAGGATCTATGACCCAAAAATAAGATAACACCACTTGAGAACACACATATTTTATTTTTCTCAAAATTAACCAACTAACCAACCAACCAAATAGATCTCAAGAGCCTTACGTATATCAGATCTTCATGTGCTACATATTTAGAAGCTATTCAAGGTTCATTAGGGTAAATTTCTAATATTCACTAATTGAAGAATATAATCAGAAATAACGAATATCAATATCAGCAACTCATTAATTCACTGGTAACTCTGCTAATACTCTATAATTTGATATAGAAATTATTACGTGAATGGAAATCAAAGCCACAAAGAGGTTACCAGAAAGTTACCAAAGCCTGTCCTGGCTGGTCTCAACATAGCAGTATCAAATGGCTCCAATACGCCATTTCTTATTGTTTTATATCATAATATCATTAAAAGTGTGAAAATTAGTAGGCTATTGACAAAGAACTGTCACTAAATACAGACCTTATAAGGTAACATAATGAATTTTAGCTGGTCTGCACAGTAATTTGCATAACTACATATGTAAATTTATCTATATAAAATTCAAGTTTACTATCTATATGCATGCTCTGTATTACATACTTACTGATTGGACTTCAGGTAATGTTTTCAGATACCACAGGAAGCAATAATTTGGCAATATGCACTTTCAATAATTAATTATGAAGAGATGGAAAGGCCGCTGCCTTTTTGCAATAACTATGTCTTATGTAATATGTAGTACACGCATATTATGTAATATATAGTACCTTATTCCATGTAATGACTGGCTCTGGCTCTCCTTGAGCACTGCATGGGATCTGCACGTTTGTGCCAACCTCCACTGTCATGTCACTGGGAACACTGGCAAATACAGGAGTCACTAAAAAAGCCAAACGATACACTGATAAATTATGAAATAGAACTTGTGCAAAAGACAATCAAAAAATAGGTCAGCACTCTGGTTTTATCAGTTACTGAACATTTCTTAATCTATTACATGATTCTATCTGCAGGCTTTTAGTTGCTTATAACTTCGTTTTAGGGATTAAATTTTCTTTGAAGAAACTACCTTCCCATGGTGTGGATGTATATTCTTTGCTGGATAAAAAACTGGCTGGATGGTCAGGGCCAGAGATAGCAGTGAATGGAGTTACTTACACCCAGCTGGTGGCCAGTAACAAGTGGTGTTCCCCAGTGCTCAGTACTGGGGCCAGCCGTGTTTAATATTTTCATCAATAATCTGGCTGAGGGGATGAAGTGCACCCTAAGCAAGGTCACAGACAACACCAAGTTGGGTGGGGGTGTTGATCTGCTGGAGAGTAGAAAGACTCTACAGAGGGAGCTGGACAGGCTCAATAAATGGGCTGAGGCCAATTGTGTGAGGCACAACAAGGCCAAGAGCCAGGTCCTGCCCTTGGATCACCCTGCAGTGCTGCAGGCTGAGGGCAGAGTGTCTGGAAAGCTGCCCCATGGAAAAGAACCTGAGGGTGGCTGGTTGACAGCAGCTGAACATGAGCCACATATTAGCATGTGCCCAGGTGGCCAAGAAGGCCAACAGCATCCTGGCCTGTATCAGCAACAGTGTGGCCAGCAGGAGCAGGGCAGTGACTGTCCCCCTGTACTCGGCACTGGTGAGGCCACACCTCGAGTCCTGTGTCCAGCTTTGAGCCCCTCACTACATAAAAGACATTGCAGCACTGGAGTATGTCCAGAGAAGGACAGGTAGCAAGTGACAGGACAAGATGAAATGCCCCTAAGTTGCACCAGAGGAGGTTTAGATTAGATATAGGGAAAATTTTTTGCATAGAAAGAGTTGTCAAGCACTGGAACAGATTGTCCAGGGAAATTGTAGAGCCACCATCCCTGGAAGTGTTCAAAAAAAGTGTGGATATGGCACTTAAGGACATGGTTTAATGGTGAACATGGTAGTGCTACATTGACAGTTGGACTGGATGAAAAGTCTTTTCCAGCCTTAATGATTCTATGACCTTATTTGTGATGTCTGCTTCAGGATGATTTTAAAGTACTCTTAACTTCTAACATAATTGGCTAGTAGTTGTCAAAACCACTTAAGTTCCATTAATTTAGAGCTCTGAAAATAATATCTGTTAATAGCTAAACCTGTGCAAAATCATCAGAACGAATACTGCATTAACTTGTCATCTTTATTTTTTTGTTGTTTTAATTTTTTTATGTAGCGACAACTGCACTTTCTCAGATGATAAAAGCAAAACCTTCTACAACTCATTCAATTGAGTCTCTCAGTTTGACTTGCTGAGGCACTGAGTCTTGACATAGCTCCTACCTCCATGACACCTATAAGCCTCAGCCCTTAAAACATCAAAAAATCACCTTCAATTCTAAGGACAGAGTACACTGTTACCTAAATCCACTGTGAATAAAATTAATGTGCTTTTAAACTAGAATTTTCTTCAAATCCAAACTGATGCCTGGCACTCAGATATCATCATAAGAAGCACTTACAAGATTATGAAGACATTAAGAATTCTATTTTTCCTGTAACATACACTGCTATGTTACTGATGTCATGATACTGATATTTAGGGGGGAGTGGGAGAGGTTGGAGGCTGTGCTTTTACAGAGAAGTATGTGGCTCCATTGCAGTCATTTATATTACCAACCAAATCTGGCCCTACTGTTAAACTGTAGATAAATGCCTCTAAAGGATCAGAAACCAGTTCAAATAAGGCATCCAGAGACAGGTGTCCAGCACTGGGAGGTAAGAGAATCTGGCTCTGTGGATGTGAGCTGAGTCATGCCAGCAAACAGACCTGGACCATTAATTTGTGTTTATTAACACTGACTTAACCACAGTGACCAATGACTAAACATTCCTCAGATGAACAGCCCTTTTGTTAGATGCCCAAAAGAAGAAAATTTCTCTTCTCGCACAATTGAAAACAGCATTGCAAATAATCTGTGGAGAGCTTCAATTTCATGCTACATATTCAGCCTTTAATCTTGCATTTACTATCTTTAATCTTGTATTTACTATCTGACTGAATTTTGCAACCCAAGTGGCACAAAAACTGTTTTATTAAACTTTACTCAAGTCCAGTGAAATTTGACACAGCTGGAAAGCTATAAAACTTTTTTAAACTGATACTTGTTTTATATAATTTTTACCAACATTTTATATAGGTTAAAAAAAAATCTCAATTTTGGCGAATCCATCTCCTAATACTACTCTTTACTAAGAAAAATCAATAGAATTTTTTTTCTAACAAACTCCTAAGCTCATTTGAGCCCCTTTTACTAATATACAGTTTTCAGTTAGGTCAGTAAAAAGAAATGCTTTGAATTACATGTTTTATCTCCTTGAATTCAGTTAAACATCAAAGTACTTAAATAAATTACGAGTGGTAATATGATTATAATTTATCCTAGAAGTAACTTACTTCGAATTTAATTGGAAAAAAAGCATAAAAAATGGAGTTTGGGGTTGGTATTTTAGGACTCTTTTTTGTGTCAGTTTATTTTCAGTACAAAGAATGACTTTTCTTTGTGAAGTTCATTCTGCTTCTGTAAAAGAAAGTGTTCTGTTTCTGGACATGAAACATTATGTTAATAACACCACTTAATGAACATCATAGAACCTTATTAGAAACAAGACTTTTCACAAAATAAAATATTTTCCAATGCATAGGAATACTGTCATCCTCAAAGCAAACCTCCACTTCTTACCAAAAAAAAAAGTAAATCAGATAAATCTCTTTCCCAGAAGACAGACTCTTCTAAAGGAATGATACCCAGCACAAATACTGGTAAATATCCAGACATGTTATTTGTTGGAAACCAGCTGGGATCTACAAGGAGATATACTCAGAAAAAATCCCACATGGTACTGTGTATTTTTGTGTAAGCTTAAATATTTCTCCTTTTTCTTTTTTTTCTTCCCAGCAGCTGTGCATGGGCTGTACCTCTGGGCTGTACAGTCAGGTACACAACGATCCGCTGGGATCCAATGATGTTGACAGCTTGGCATTCATACTGTCCCTGGTCATGCAGAGCAACCCTGGAAATCCTCAGCGTTCCAGTGGAGAGAACTAAATGTCTTCTGTCAACAGACAACTGGCCTCCTGAAACACACAATAACACCATTTGCTCTTTATAGCAACAAAGAATTTTTTCTTTGCGTCCAAAAAAGCGAAACCCAGGTTTTAAATTTGATAAAACACCGGAAAATATTAAAGTTTCTTAAAATAAAAAAATCAAAAACAAAACAAACAAGAAAAGAAGTCTAAAACCTTTACTTCTAAGAAGATAAACATGAAAAGCAAACACATTATGCATATGCACACAATCATAATTCTTATTTCTTCTCTGTTTATGGTAGAAATAAATATTTTTCCTTAAGGAGCATGCTAAAGCATCCAATGAGAAGGTATAAAAACACCAACATGTGTTACTGCTCATATCATATTATTGCCGTGTGTGCAAGACACAATTTATCTCATTGGACTAGGCCTAGATAATCTACAGAAATATAGACATGGTCCTGAAAAAAATGTAATATAAGAAAAATGGATTTACATCACTTTCTATACCCTATCCTTTCTTTCTGAACACTTCATTGGATTGGAGCAGTCTAAGCAGAGAGAGAAACAGGGACATTATCAGCATCAAAATGATGATCAATTTGTTAAGAATCTGCTTTATGTACAATAATTTAGAATTTCCTAAGAGTTATTTAGCTTGCTAGAGTTTTTTCACTCGAATCAAACGGAATTTTTACTTATTTTACTTACTGATAAAACATCCACTACAATATTTCTTCCTGCTAGATTTGGCTTAATGCCTTTAGAGCCATAACTTGATAAAATAGTCAGCAGAGTGCACCCCGTTGTTTCTGTCAATGTGCATTAAGTGACAGAGATGCTGGTACAGTACAGGCTGGACTGTTCTGGTTTCTGAAGAGAGCACATCCCACATAATTTCAGACCTCCAGTTAATGACAGCCATCTCCATTTCTTCTGCAGTACAACAGCAGTGATACATACTGCTACATGTAATTCGCCTCATATTTTTTAAACATTTATTATTAGGAATCTAATAATTTCTGAAACATTTATTATTAGGAAGTATGTATGGACACATACTTTAGTGATTCTTTTTTACCTAATAATGAAAAATGCTTGAGCAGCTATCTCCTGTGGGATACCTTGCCTTACCCAGCTAAAGGAGAAAGAGATTAACTGTTTCCTTCAGAGACTGAAGCATCTAAATAAATACATGCAGTTCCTTTCAGTAAAGAAGTGATTCCAATATGACTGCTAGACTATCCTGGTAGTTTAAAAGTAAGAATGGAATGCACTTACCTCCTTTAGTCCAGGCAATAACAGGCTGGGGATAACCTTGTGCTTCACAAGGGAAGTCAACAGTTTGTCCTTCGATCACTGTTTTGTCTTGTGGGGTGACAGTAAACTGAGGTAGAGCTACAGAAGAGGAAATAAAGCCATTTCAAAAAGACAATTGAAAAATGCATGACTAAATTGCATACTATCTCCTGTGTAAGTTGAAATAGCTCATATGGGTGGGAAGACAGATGCTAATGGAATTCTTTATATTGTGACCGCCAGAGAGAAGACAGTTAGGGCAGCCACTTGTGCAAAAGGAACATTTCTCTCACAACCTGGCCTTGATGTCAGTGCAGGCATGTGGGATCTACTGTGACAGATCCAAAATAAGAGGTGCAGTAAAACTTGTTGAATCAAACATAGAGTCTTCCCTGGATTAAAAGCGTTATCTTCTCTTTCTCTCAAAACTTCCCAGTTAAATTGTGAAGAAAAAGTAATGTAATCAAAACCTTCTTGAGCTGATTCTTTTCTTCCATGAAAGCAGTGAGTGGAGCGTGGGGCAGATTCGGCAGTAACGCTGTGCAGTAACTACTCACTGTGTGAAAAGTATTTGTTCAGCTCTCAAAATGCAATGATCCACTGGTAATAAATTAACAAACCACACAGAGAAGTTGTTTTGTATAGCTTTAGAACTCATTAAAAAGGTATTTGCTATCTTAACTGTTTGCCAACTAAGGATTTTAACATGAGAACGGAAGCAAATAAATTTAAAGGTTACTTAAAGTATTTTGTAAATAAAAGTTCCAGCATGAAAGTGTTTGCAAAAAATATTATCTATATACACAGGAGACTTCTGATAGTTGATCTCAAATACTTTATAATCACACTATTGACATACAATATCAAAATTATTGCAATCATGAGTTAGAGTACTTTGACTTTTGCTTTGCAGAAAAGCTGTGCTAATGCCTCAGCTGGCAGAATGATAGCTTCTATCAAACTCAGCAGAAAATATTTCCACATTCCCTGAAGTGTCTACAACAGAAAAGTGGCACAGATCTGTATTCAAAACTCCATTTCTAGTTCTCCAGGCACAAATTCTAATCTCTAGCATTTCTGCCTGTTACGGAAAATATTTAATCATTCAAAAATTTGGCAATTCTTGTTTGTTCCTTCATGCAAACAAAACATAAGAAATTAACATTTGAAAACATTAACCTTCTGATAATAATCACTGAAACATAATTTTCAGGGAAATAGTAAGTAATATCTTACTCTGTGTGAAATGTATAGCAACTTCCCCATGAACTACAATAGTGCAATTAGAAGTAAAAACTCTTATGTTTTTAGTTTGGCTCGGTCAACTCAGAAGAAAAGACAAATCCACACAATTTCAAGCAGTATGTCTCTTCCAGTTTAACATTATTTACCTTGGACTATGATGTATGCAGTGGCGTGGATGTTATCAACGGTGTTAGTTGCAAAACAGGTGTACTCGCCACTGTCTTCCTGTTTCACATTCTGTATGTAAAGTCCTCCTGAGGGAGTTATGGTGACACGAGGGTCATTTGGTAGAGGGGTTCTGTCACCTTTGGTCCAGGTAATTCGTGGCTGAGGGTGCCCAGTTGCACTGCATTCCAAGGTAACGCTCTCTCCAACCAGCACTTCGGTGTTTTGTGGGTGAATCACAAAACTTGGCCTGGCTGTGAGAAAACAGCAATGCCTAAATACAGCTTCTAGCTTGCACAGCTCTAATTTAGACAAATATAGTCTATAACTGGGGACACCCAGTTATCCTAGAGCTTTAACAGACTCTAGGATACCTTTAATCTTGGTGCAAACTCTGCGCCTTGCTTTAAGTCTAATCTAACTGCAGAAACCAATAGATAAAAACAAAAGCTCATAATTGCTCTGAAGTTTTTTTCTCAACTCCCATTAAAACAATTTTCAAACATTTTGCTCTTCTATGCTGATGTTTATAAAGGTCTCTTCAGAATCATAGACATTGAGACTCAAAACACAAACAGGCTAAAAATTGCTGTAAGAGCACAAAAGCCAAAACTGATTAAGCTACATTTTAAGTAACCTTTCTCAAGTACATGAGTAATTTCCAGTGACATTTTAAGTTTACCTGGTGCTGTGCGTCAAAACAAAATGTTCTCACAGCAAAGACCACGTTTTAAAAACATTACAGTCCTGGACAGGAATTTAGTCCTTGCAAATATGAGGTCTTGGCTAGACAGAGCTAAAAGGTTCTTGAGCAAGGATGGCTGCACAGGGTGTGCTGAAGCTTCCATGAATGGCTTGATCAGCAGCTTGTGGTTTTTGGTATCCAGAGAGAACGTTACTGCATTGAGAAATGTTGCAGTGCAAAGCCTCTTCTCCTAACCCTTCTACAGCCTACAAGACTATTATAAAAATTGCATACTACAATAAACATATTAATTAACCAGCTGAGTTGTATTTTTGTTCTAAGGATATTATATCTTTATGATCTAAGTCTTAAGATGCCCAAGCCCAACAAATCTACATATCAAGCACCAAAGCATTTTATTTTTTAGCAATCTTATTATCAAAACAACTCTCTATCTGAATGTAAAATTCAAACTTAACGTTCTTTACCTGGAGACTCAAAGTATCTAAGAGTAACTTCCTGAGTTTTCACTTCTCCAGCCACATTTTTTGCCATGCACTGGTAAATGCCTTGGTCTGTTTCCTGAGTATTCTGAATCATCAACGTGCCATCATCTAGCAAGTTTAGACGGGAATCTTCTTTCATACTGAGCTCATTACTGAGAAGAAAAGGATCTGCTAGAGTTAAACCTTTAAATCACAAGTGCAGAAAACTGCCAAATAATAAAACCCAGGAGATAAATTACCCAAAATAACTTGTGGGGAAAAAAACCTTTTACTTTGTTATAAATAATGGAACTTTACATTTTCTCCTAAAGAGAAGAAGAGGAAAAACAAATCATGAAACTGTTTTGCTTATGCAAGTAATGCATCTTCAAAATGAAAAGTTAAAATAAATTTATGAGGAATAGCTTACAGGGAAAAAAAACAACCAGTGAACAATACACATACCTGGTCTTTAAAAGGCTGTTCTAGTTAGCAAAACAATTAAAACTGTTTCTACTGGAAGTATGTCATGCAAGTTCAATATTCAAGATACTTTCTGCTAGGAGAGAGGTCAGTTGCTATAAAACTATCTTTGTGCCAAGCTCTGCCTGGATAGTTCAAGAAGCACTAATGAACTTGATTATACTTTGTACTGGTTTAAAACATAAGTTAAGGTCAGGTCTTCAGGTTAGGTCATGGATGAAAAGTTTCTATGATGTTACCTAAGAAGTCTTAGGGGGGTTTATTAAAAGAACTTTTTCACAGTCTACCCCTCACTACATGATGAAGAAAGCGCAGAGGAGCAATGAGATCACGCCTTTTATGTACAAAGCCCAGCCTACTGATCTATTCAACATACTGCTCAACAGGCTGATGGCTTTTGACTGAAATCTTGCCATATTCAACTACCTTGCAAACAGCTCTGTTCTCATTCATGCAGCCAGGAAACAAGCCAGAGTCAATAATCTCTCACCCCAAGCTCAAATTTCTTCTTAAAACTCATATGTATATTCTGAATATGTTTTCTTTGTGCGTTATAAATACTTGAGCCAGAGAAAATTTTAAAGAAATAATTATACCATTCAAGTTCATGGCTCTGTTCTTGACATACTCCATAAATGCTGTGCCTTTGCTGCACTAGGGGTTCTCACTGACATCAGCAGAAAGATATAGAACCAGGACTCTAAACCATGCTATTTCATCTGCAACTGACTAATTAAAATGCTTTATAGAAAGTGTAAGGGAATTTATGTTCCAGGTCAGGTTTGTATAAGAGCATTATTAAACCAAAGTCAAATTTATTGATGGTAAACTCACAGTTCACATGTCCATTGTAAGTTCACACCAGTTTAAGGGGGTGATGTGCTGGCAAAAGGCTGGTTCAGCTGTGCTGTGCCCAGTGCAGCTGGAGGGAGCCAGGCTCTGGGCACAGCCCGAGCAGCCATTCTGCAGCAGGCTGGCCCTTGGGCTGTTTAAAGATAGTCATCCTCTATAGAACCTTCTCCCATCTTCTAAGTGGTGAAGGAAAGGAACACAGTAGGTTGCCCAGACACCTGGTGCTGTCACCATCCTTAGAGGCTTTTAAGACCCATCTAGATAAAGCAACCTGGTATAATCCTGCTTTGAGCAGAAGGCTGCACTGGAGACCTCCTCTAACCTTGGAAACCTCCTCCAACCTGAATTACACTACAATCTTATGATTTAAAGACTTGCCTGCTCTCCATGTACTGGTTTGAGGAGGCTGGAAACAGATGTCTCTCTCCTCTCCTGGGACAAAGCTCAACCTTGGAGGGAAGATACCTCTGAGGAGCTAGGGCTCCAGCAAGAGTTCTCTGAAACTTTAATTGTATCCAGCTGGAGTCCTTAAAGTATCTTTTGCTCCACTCCAAAACATATGCAAATGCTAAGTAATCCACAGACTGTACATACAACATGTCCACATGTCCTGGCACTTAGATATAAATGATTTAGTATTACAGGGGTGAGCAGCTTTGCAGGTATACTACAGCTGAAGATCTTACAAATTGCACTAGAGTAAAAATACTTTCCAGTTACCAGCTTTTAAATGTTTAAAAATATTAATAAAAAGCTATGGGCCATCATTACTTCATATGCTTATTTTAATTATAGCATGTTTTTGCTGTAACTATTTCACATATATTAGCATATATAGCACATGGACATACACCCAGAAATGTACACACACACAGGCAAATGTAATTACAACAAGTTTCTCTCTTCCTCTTTCAAACTTACTTGTTTCGAAGCCAGATAATTTCTGGTTTAGGATTGCCTTCAGCCCTGCAAGTGAAGTACACTGTATTCCCTGAGGTAACGTCCACATCCTGAGGCTCTGATGTAATTCTTGGCCTCTCTATATCAACAATAAAACATACAAGGAACTCTTACTTATTTTAAAACTACTAAAAACTGGTAAATAAAAATATTTCCACACATCTTGCAAAAAATATTTTTCACAAATGTTTTGACTTTATATGTATGACTAAATATGTATATGCTTAGTCAGGATTAAATGCACTTTTCCCTGTGCAAAAATGACTGTGGGATTTCTGACCTCCTTCATTGTTCCTTAGGACCTTTCAGCAGACTGGAAATAGATTGTGCAAATTTGTATCAGGTTCTAAAGCAGCTGTTTTATTTATTTGAACATAGATTCAAATTGCCTATGAAGGAAAAACTTTAAAGCAGCAAGCACAAGTGCCATTTAAAATAACTTCCTCTAGATAAGTATCAGTGCCTAAACTGCCTCACTGAATAATTTGTACAGCTTGCTTCCTGCAGTTTCCATATTCAGGCTCCTTAGATGTGCAAAGAGCTGGTAGGATGCCATGTGCATTATTCTTGCATCAAATTCCCTTTGTACTATCTTTGTCAAGAACCTTGTAGATGCTTATGGTCATAGTTCTCTTGATCAGAATTATATCCAACACATAACCAAAAGGACAATTTACTTATTTTATACTTTGGCTTCATTATGTGAGTGGGCAGGCAAATGCCCACAGCTTGATGAGAAATCTGCATTTTGATTTCAGAACATAAGAGGTACTAGGCAAAGTCATAGGGTGCCCATGGGGCCAAGTTTTTGCACCCCTAGGGTGAACACAAACAAAAGGATTACAAAGGTGCTTTTCTATTAATCCTCAATGGCAGAGGATTCCAGTGCCTGTGTGGGGTACTCCTATTAATTACACCTGAGTAAAAAAAAAATTAGTGGCCCAACCCCAATTCCTACATCAACAAAAATTTTAAAGGCCAGAACTGTGTCATCAGGGGCAATTCAGTAAAGCTTCTTTCCTTCCTTTCCCTCATATAGAAGGGAATAAACAACACCAAATAATATTAATGCAACACCATAGACCCTAGCTGACAATCCTGTTATGATCAGAATTGAAACACAAAAGGGAAAAATAAACTCCTTCAGGATAATCACCTTTCATTCTTCAAGGGGAAATTTCAAACATAGTTATATTTGTTTCATTATAGATAGGCTGAAGGGTAAAAGCAATCAATCCTGTCAGGAGCACACAAAACCAGAAAAGGAATGTGGAGAGATTTCTAGAAATAACCAATACTATCCAGAGGTGGTCAGTGTTAATAAACAGAACAACAAATTCTAACTCCCCCAAAAAATACAGTTTAGGTACATTCAGTGCATTAAAAATAAGCCATCAGGAAGTGGCAAACCCACCACAGTTCAGTTCTTCTGGTGTTATTGTGGCCACCGATCTTCCCTGGATCCTGCGTGGGTACTCGCAGGTAGCAGCTGCCTGAGCGTTGCCCGACTCCGCGTACGTCTTGAGCAGCTCCGCCAGCCACAGGATCTCACAGTCACAGTGCAGAGCGTTGGAGTCCAAGCGCCTGCACAAAACAAGGAGCAGCCACAGCTCTGTGAGCAAGCCTCAGCCATCTTTTTCTAGGATCAACATGGTTCTGTAAATGGAGCAATGCCTTTATCTGGGAATACAGACAACAGCCAACAGGCAATACAGGTGATGGTTGCTTGCTTATAGGCATTCTGGTAGTTTTTATTAGAGGAATGTGTGTTATTTTTACTGCCCAAAGGACAATCTATGTATATTATTTAGTCTATAAAACAATGATTACAAATATTCCCAATATAGGAAATAAACTTCAGTCAGTAACTAAAGAAAATAGATATAAAACAATGTTCTCAATCTATCCACATAAACAATTGTAGCACAGTTAGGAAAAAAAAATTAATATTTAAAGCAATTGCACCACAAAAGGCATTTGCAAGGAAGATAAATATTGCAAGAGAAGATACAGTCTAATTATTCTAATTGGGTTATTTAATATTTCATTAGTTCAATAATAATTCAATCTACTTACAGTCTCTTCATAGATTCTAAGTGACTAAATGTTCCAGGAATCAAATGAGCTATTCTGTTGTTATGCAAAAACCTGTTAAAACACAGAAATATGCATGTAATAATTCAGATTTTGTGATGCATTCATTTCATTTACATACTTCTGGAAGGTTTTCAGGAGAAATTAATCTAAGAAAATTTAAGATAAAAAAAATGAGCCTGTTCAGCAACTCATTGTCTGGTATTTTTTAGGTGGCCTCCAAGGTGTACTTGGGTATGTCCATGTGGGGAAAAAGAAGCCATAAGTAACTACAAGGAAGGGAGCTCATAAGCTTTAAAATTAGAAATTAAAAAGGTCCTAAATAAATAGTCTAGTTCTTCATTCATAACATTTATTTTAGACCAAACATTGATAACAGATCTTTGGGAAGTAGTTTTGCAAAAGAAAAATAAACCACAGGCAACGCTCACTTCTGCATGCCTCTAAGGTCAGCCTCACCAAAGTGCTCTTGGAAAGACTGTGTAGTAGTTACAGTTAAAAAAAATTGATTCAAAACCACCTATGGCAATGATAAAAATATTATATTTTAGTTTAAAATGCTTGATTTAATTCAAAGAAGGAAGCAAGCTGTCTTCTGACTCTTACCCCAAGAAAAACAAACTTACAGCCTTTCAAGTTTTGGAAGATGAGTAAAGGATTCAGGTTCCAACGTTTCTATTTGATTAAAGTGCAGATACCTGAAAATATGTTAAACAAAAAGAAAAATACTGAAACAATTTTCTTGGTAAAATATTTTAAAGAACTTATTGTTTCCATAGTGTTTACAGATCTAAATGGCCATAGTGACGTAGCAGCTTTTTTCTGTTACCATCTGAATCTCATACTTGAATCTGAGAAATAGAAGACATGACAAACAAAGATGTGTTTGCAGATCACTATATTGAGTGTGTGTGTATATAAGCAAAAAAGTCCAAACATTGCTGTGGAAATTTTGGAGATAATACTTTGAATGCTATTTTGCCAGCTCTGATGTTTATTGTATGCATGCTTGAAACAATTTATCAAAAAAAAGAAAATTATTATTTTTAATAGGAAAAATGTTAGAGGTTATTTAGAAAACATTTACAGTTTCCAGCACAATAACATTTTTTGTGGCCAAATGTTTTCATTTCCATGAGTGAAAATTTCAAAAGATACTGACATCTTCTCTAGTCCATGAACACTGGCATTTAAAGCTGTGAATGTTCTCAAAACCAAATTTGTAATATAAACCCAAGTTTGACTAATTTGACTTTAGACAAAGGGCTTCATACCAACTGGTGCTGTTTGGTGCCCTCTTGATGCTTATGCCAAGCTATGAACATTACACAACAATAAATCTACGCAGCTGTTAATGCTGTAAAATCAACAAAGTTAACACAACAAGACAATTAACCAGACTATTAACCTGTAACTATTGTGAAAATGGACTGCAAAGGCAGGATCATTCCAGCATCTACTATTTTGTGGAGCTACCCCTGAACCTTGCAGATGAGAATACAAGATGTATGGATAAGACTGGCACAAGAAACTGTGAAAATGATTCATAGACTTTGGATCTTGATTATATCCGAATGTATTCAAAATCCTTTAAGTTTTGTATTTGACCTCTGACAAATTCAGGAACCTCTGGAGAATGTGTTTATACAGAAATCACTGTGGTCTGAAGAACAAAAAGCCTGTCATTTAAAAACAGTGGGAACAACTCTGAGCTCAGTATCTCCTGAAACACCAATCCCTCAGCATGACAAGGCCAAGGACACGGGGATTTGCCCGTGCTGAGCCGGATGGTGGCTGTGCAGAGAGAGAAGCGGGAGCAGCAGTGGTTCCAGCCAAGCCTTGCAGGGAGCCCTGGAAGGCGCGTGCAGGGGGAGCCAGGCTCGTGCCTGGCAGCCTCCCAGGACAAGCGCGAGCCAGCGAGCGATGCCAGGGAGCAGTGAATGGGGACCACAGAAAAAGCCAATAAATCAGCACGGGCCTGATCAAGCCCATCAGGGTGTCACGCCTGCCTACTGCCAGTGCCACGCCACAGAGTGTCCTGAGCACAGAGCATGGTCTTGTTAGCATGAAGATCCAAGAACTGCGTCACCTTGCTGGGATTGCCAGTTTTCATCTCCCCTTTAAAAATACAGGGCGATCTCTTCTAAATTAAAAAGACAGATGTCAAAGGCAGATATTTCCTGCAAGACTCATCTGATTTGCCAGCAGAGAGAAGAGAGACCTCAGTGAGGAAGGACTGGGCATGGTCCAGCCATGAGGTGGGCAGGCACCGCTTGCCAGGAGCCAGGGATCTGCTCATCTACCTTCCAGGATCAGCAGCATTTGGGAGGGGGCAAGGCAAGGTGGGGATCACTGCAATGAAAAAGGATGAAGGGAAAAACCAGGCACAACTACAGACGGGGTTTGTTATCTCTGAAGCAGCTTTTGTTTTGGAAAAAAATTATAAACACTACTTCTTTTGCAGGCAGCAGTGATTTTTTTTCCTTTTTAACTTTTAAGTTCTTCTTGCATTTTTATGCCTCATGAACACCTCACAAACACATCTCTTAGTATTCCAAATAGATTAATTTTCTGTTCTTTTTTGGCATTGACAAGGCAAGATTTGTAGGCATCTCTTATTTGAACAAAAATAACATTGGTAAAAGCAGATACATCGAGTCACACAACCCCTTCTTCAGGGCCACAAATCAGGGTGAAATTAGAAAGAGAGGAAAAGAAAGAATACCTCTCTCAGATGGTTTAAGTAGTATACACATTGCAAAACTCAAAGCCCCAGCCCATAATGGCTGTTTAGTACTCACTATTAGAATTACAGATGTAATCAATATGTGCCTGAAAGGTCACCTTGTTTTTCCAAACAAAACAAATTTTAAAAAAATATTTCTGTTATAAACCTTGCCTTGTTTACAAGCTCACACCATTGCAGATACAATAATTCAGGTGCTGAAGAACATTTTAATAGCTAACTTTACCTCATCAGATATCACACTGTCTAAAGTAGCTCAAAAAAATCAAATCATGAAATCCAGCTGGAAAATACTCTTAACTGCTTCATAGTAGTTGGGCTACACAAATTAGTTGGGCTTTTCAGGTCTTTAATTTATGATCTAAAAAAGACCCTGAGCAACTTATCATGCAATTTATTAATAGAACAAGTTATTCAATATCTGGCCAAAATAATTCGTAATTCAAAATAAATAGATGCAGAAACCGGATTGCATTTTAAGTCTACAGTAAAGAGAATAAAAAAATCCTTGGCATTATGACCTACACTTTAATCCTGTTTTATCACTTAGGTTTATCACTTCTATTATTTTATTCTATGTACCACATTAAAGTTTTGTAAAGGTATATTTTAATATTTTAATTAATATGGTAATTTCTTGGATTTAAAATTCACTCTAAAGGTAACCATATTCAGGAAATAATCTCACACTAGCATATATTTATAGGCATCTTTTATGTTCAGAGTACAAAGCATTAAAAATAGTAGTATCATGTAATAAATTAGATATTAAAAAGACTTTCAGAATGAAATTGAAAGAAAAAGCATGCAAGAGTGATTTTTAAATGCCAACATATCTTTTCTTTTTAATTCTAAAAACACTATCAAGAATTAAATAGAAGGAAAGGAAATACCTATAGGAAAAAAGTCCAAATGAAACACCTCAAGAGGAAGATTAAGTTTTTATCAAACAAGCATGGTATAGATTTCTTATTATTAATCTTGTAGGACAAAAAATTACTGTAAAATTCAGTTCCAGTGACATTTTTCACAGCATTAAATTTAGGATTATATCTTATGTAGCTTTGACGTTTTTGTAGGTGAGGACTTTTATTAAATATGCCAGTTGTTCTTTTACTAATACCATCATCACATCTTTGGGGAAATACTCATTAGCTGAGTATAATCCATGTTCTGAATATTTAAACAGCATGTTTGCCCATTTGGTTATTTGAATAAGAATGACCAAACATATATGTTCCATATTTATCAATGAGCTTTCCCTGCTCAGGGACAACAAGTAGCAGCCTTAAACCATAAGGAAAAATATTTAAATGTATGTTGTGATAATGATATAAAATACTGGAACAGGATACTTAAGGAGATTATGGAACACTCACTGAAGACTTTTAAAATAAGGCTAGACAAGTATCTGTTTCCAGTTTCTTGTCCCTAGCTAATCTTATTGTAGAATAATAAGGATTAACTTCTCAACGCCCCTGTCATACCTCTTGGGTTCCTTTGTTTGTTTATTAACTAATTAACTAATATCTGACATAGAGTCATGCAAAAATCAGGAACTTGTAGTATAAAACAAGAAAATAAATAGCAACACTTCAAAAATACTGAAAACGGAATTGAATTACATAGACCTAATATAACAAACTGTATCACTATAGGTTAGTTAAGGTTTTTGTCTATTAATTCCCCCAAAATATGTATACGTGTACATAAACTACAGCATAACTAATAACAGCTTATAAAGAACAAAATTAGTATGTTAATATGAAAGTTACAAGAAAATGCATAACTAGGATTAGGTAAACAGATTTAAATAAGTCCATTAATATTTGGGGATGCTGCTAGTTAAATAGTGGAGTACACTTTTTGTCCCTGATACATACAACTCATAAGCTGAGATCTCAAAAATGTGACAGATATTTGGAAGGAAAGCAATGTATACACATCTGGAAACGGACTCCATTTAGAGCTAGATCTTGGGATCCAAACTCATGACCTCCCCAGCAGGGTATTTGTGCCATTTCAGGTGGGATTCAGTGGTCAAGCCCAGGCACAGAGGCCCAGAGCAGCTGTCTAAGCCCAGGCACACAGAGGCAGCCCTCCTTGCCTGTCGGGTGCTCTGTCTGCTTTCCGGCTGCTGCTCTGAAAAAATGCAAGTTTCCTGCAGCTTTATGCTCTCTGTGCCAGACCCAAACATATGTCTTGCAGATTTAACAGTGTCTAAACTGGTACTCAGCAGCTACTTTTCATCAACACTCTCCCTTCATGCCCAGCCACAGGTGAAAAGTTAGGTGACAAAGTATGTATGGCTCAGTGTGTTCAAGTACCTAAAACTGCCAATTTTTCTTCAGAATTTACCCTAGCACAAACAGGTTTCAAGATCTGATTCAAAGATCTTATTTTCTTGGCAGAAATTTCCAAAGGAAAAGCTATTTTGACTACATCAGCAGCTAAGAATTCTGCTTCAGAGGTTTAAGGAGGAACCTGCCAGCTGCAGTAAATACTTTGGGGGGTTTTGTCCCTTATACATGCAACAGTACATTTAGGTTTCAGTTAGTGTAATTTAGTTACATTTAACTACATTTAGTTTCTGGTAACAACAACAATCACCAAAAAAATGTTTGCTTTGCTGATCAGATATTTTTTAAAAGGCAACTATCAGTTGAATTCTGCTTCACTGGAGTAGAAGAAATAGCTGTGAAACAAGTCATTCCCTGAAATGTGGTCCACAGTGTCTACTTCTGAGAACTCTGCTGAGCACTGAGAACAGCATTTGGCTGAGTTAACACAACCAGTAGCAAAATGTGTTCGATAACTTGTGGCCACAGAGACCTCAAATGCAGAAACATTGATTTAGTACTGTCAATGCAGTTCAAACCTGAAATTAGGACACTTAGAAACTTGTTTGCCAAGGGTAACTCTTGTCTTGTCAGCAGTTTTTCTCCAAAGCTAAATGTGATAAAACAGACCCTGTAGAGTCAGAACATATTTTCATGCTAAAGATGCATAAATGCCAAATCTCTCCTAAACTAAAAATCTCAAAGCTTACTCTCCATTGAATTTATTTCTGTGCCTGCTACTGGCTTCATGTACTCCCATTTTCCCTCCTGGCAAGCTCTGTGTTCAGGAGAGGAGCAGAAGAGCTCTAAAAGGTAGTGAGCTCTGATGCATGCAGTGGGGTAGCACCTGCCCCCCATTCCCCAGCAGCTGCAGGTGCTGACAGGACACATGGGCAGGCAATGAGCAGTGACTCTGCCAGGCTCCATATCCCCACATCCAATCTTCCCAGCCAGAGATGAGACTCAAGCCCTGAGTCTGAATTTCAGATTCATAGATCAACAAGGAAAAAGAACACAAGAAAAAAAGACAAATATTGCCACTTGCACATATGGGGCTTGTGGCATGGGGAAGAACATTCTTTTGGAAATATTAGTAATTCAATAAATGGGCCTCAGTATTCCAAATTCTACAAAGAAATTATGTATTGCTATCAGCATGCAAGTAAGCCCTACCAGTTGCTGTCAATATGGTGCAGTAATAATTTTTAGAGTAAAAGGAGAAGGAAGAGAAAGGCATTGAGGAAAAAAAACCCCATATTTAAATACTTTTTATAATTAACACTTCTGTTTTACATAGAAGTTCCTCCTTCAAAAGGCATCTATTGCACTCTAAAAGGAGCATGTATGATTTTGTACCCATATAAAGTGTCATTTTATTTCATATACACTTTGTGTCTACTAATATCCATTAGAGGCTTACAGTAACAAGGAAACTGGCACATGGAGAACACTTGTAATACACTGATATCTTTCATCAGTTTAAAAATTTATATTCAGCTCCCAATTTATACCCTACAAAACTCATTGGTTTGCTACTGTTATTTGGTAGTCAAACTGTGAAACAACTACACATTTACAGTTTTTTCCTTTTTCTAAACATTGTCACAATGAATGTAGAGCAATGCTTTCTGATCATAGAGTAATAGAATTGTTAAGGCTAGAAAAGACATTTAGGATTTTCAAGTCTAATCATCAACCTAGCACCACTATCACATTCATCACTAAACCATGACCTCAAGTGCCATATCCAGCCATTTCTTGAACACTTCCTCAGGGGGAAGTGTGAATCCACTGCTTCCCAAGGCAGCCTGTTTCATGCTTTACCACCCTCTCCATGAAAAGATTTTTTTCTAATACCAATCTAAACCTCTCCTGGTGCAACTTGAGACCATTTGCTCTTGTCCTGTCACTTGTTACCTGGGAGCAGAGACCACTCCCCAGGTCACTATAACCTCAGTTCAAGTAGTGGTAGAGAGAAATGAGGTCTCCACTGAGGCTCCTTTTGCCCAGACAAACAAGCCCAGCTCCCTCAGTTGCTCCTCACAGGATTTGTGCTCCAGCCCCTTCACTCGCTTCACTGCCCTTCTCTGGACTCACGCCAGCAATTCAATGCCTCTCCTATAGTGATTGTACAACAAAACATAGTTCAGCTTAATGGAATCAATACAACTGGGTTTTGTCATGCTTAGGACTGTATTCTTCATTCTTTTTCAGTAGACATTATTCTTCATTATACAGGAAAAGAAGTATGATTTTAATCAATCTTTCTGGAGGACATTACTGAAACATCTACATTGCAAACGATGTACTTTCCTACTTTTTAAACATCTGTATCTGTATATGGCAATGATTAACACATATAAATTATAGCAAGGTTTTTATTTAAAAAACTATTCTTATTTCAAAGTATAACAAAACAGGGTTGAACTTGCAGAGGCTAATTCAGCTTTAGTTATGCTGCATAAAACAAAGTAACTGCTGCAGTGAAAGGAAGTGAGATCTAATAAAAACCTGCAGAAATGAAAGCAGAATCTATCTCTAAGCAATACACATTAGTTTCCAACATTTTCCACAATAATTCTCCTTTGTCAAAGCTATGTAACAATGTAAAGGGACATCAGGAATGCAAATCACAAATAAAAGACAAACACAGAAATGAGGAATTTGACACAGACATCAACTGTGGTTTTTTCACATGCAAATGATTATGGGGCTCTCTGCCCAACCCAGGGGTGCAGACGTGCAGAGCATGCAGGTAGGATGTATGGATCAAGGCGTGCACTTTTCCTCTGCAGGGGAACCATGGAGATGACAGCACAGAAGAGAAAAGGCACTTACAGTTGTTCTAGAGAGGCAAGTCCTTTAAATGCTTGCCTGTCAATTGACTGGATTTCATTCTTGTACAAATAGCTGAAACAAGAAACAATCAGTAATATTAGTACACAAACAAGAGCTACATGAAGGTGGAAAAGAAGAATTAAGTTGACACGTGAAGACAGTTTTTCAACTACATATTAGAAAAAAAAATATACAAATAAAAAACTAAAAACATAAAAATAACCTATCCTTGAGATTTCATCCCAAATGACATAAGTCTGGGGCCTTGAAGACCCTGAGGCTCACACCTGGATGGACTTGGGCTTTCCAGTGCTCATAGCACAACTTACTGGATTTTTGTCCCTTGTTCTCTTGATTGGTTTGCCAAAAGTCAAAATAAGTTCAACTTAATGGGACAGAATTGCATTAGAGGTGCCTTTACCAGAACACACCAGGGATGGCCTCTCGATTTCTTTAAAATACTCATCTGAATACTGGTGCAAATATTCAAATTAGGATAGAGTGGGTCTTTTACTGGACTTGGAGAACAAACAGTGAGAAATTTCTGTAACTCCACCTGTGTCACCTTTGGAATATTCACAGAAAATACAAGTTATAATACTGGTATCACATCCATAAAGCAGCACTGTATATTTGTTTTATCACTGTGCAGAAGATGGACATTAGGTCCCCATTGATACTCTATAATATAAAGAGAATATACATGCAGAGTATCAGTATGATCACATGTGTTGTCTATACCTTTTTTATGGAATTAAAATAAATCAGGAAGGATCAGTGTATGTGCTCATGTTCATCATGCTCTTAGCAGCAAGGATGGTTTAGTGAGGGGGTATTGGAGAAAAATCACACAGTTTAGCTGATGACTGCAGTTTCTGCATGGAGGCAGCAAATGAAAATACTTTGGGGGTTCAGTGTCAGTCACTCTTTTTGTGTTAGGATAGGCACAGGTTTGTGGTTAAGAACTTTTTCACAATTATTTGACAAATGATTTGAAACTCAGTTAATCAGGCATGGGTTTCCATGGAAAGGGGATGAAGAGACTTTGTACCACAAATGACTTTATTAGCAGGCATCTTATTAGTAGTGGTTTTGGGTTTTCTATTACAGTTTTCAGTAACTTACTGGAAATATTGCAAACTCCTTTTGGTGCAACAGAAAAAATACTGGCTCTGCTGGAGGTGGTGGCAGTTTTTACACTGATGTGACAATGGGCAACATTTCACAATAGGCCCTAACAAGGAAAGAAGTTGTAGGTATTTGATATTAAACTAATGACAACTTTGGGGAACAATCAGGAGTAGTATCCTTCCTTTGAATCTAAATTAACTTTTCCAATGCACTGCTTGCTGACAATCCAACACATTAATATACAGAGATTCCTGTGTGCTTTTTTAACATAGATATGCATCTGAATAAAAAAGCAGAATTCTTCCAATAACAGGTAACATGGAAATAAAAATTTCTGAGGTTTTTAAAATATTCAAAACCAGAAAAAAATTACTGTCCTGTGAAATTACTGTAAAAACTTTTGAAATAATTTGAAAACAGTGATTTTATATGTGGAACTGGTTTTTATTCCATTTGAAAAAAAAATTATTTCATGAGTATTAAAATATTTGTTTTGGCTCAGATTTACCAATTCATTTGAGGATCACAGTCATTACGATTTTCTCTCCTTAATTTTCCTCTCTGATATTCAATTCCTATCTTATTTTCCTGTGAGAATTTTCAACACACCTTTTGACTCCTTAGAAAATTTCGAGGACTGATTACCTGAAGTTATTTATCTTTCTTAATACACTTAGTTCCAAATTCCACTTGGTAGTGTGGAAATCCCTCTTACTTCTGAGTACTCCTGGTCAGACCAGAGAACCAAAGTGGGCTTAGACAGTTTTGAAAACCGCCCTCAGTTAATCATCTCTTTCTGGCATTTCAACAATTGTATTCAAAAAAATCTGAATTCATCAGATTTTTTAAAAAGTTTTACCACAACCATTCATATAACTTTTATTTACTCTCTGCAGACAGAAGGAGGCAGAGAGTGAAAATTGGAGTTGAATTAGACTGGGATAATGACTGTTACCAGCATACTGCAGGGAAGGGAGCAGCCTCTAGGAGCTCTTACCAAGCCACTGCAGTGAGCGTTTATTTGGTGTTTTCAGCTTTAAATCAGAGCTTTTTCCATTCTGACCAGAAAACCCTCAGCTCCAGGAAACTCAACCAACCTCAGTCAACCATATCCTCCCTTCACAGAGAAACCCCAGTAACCTCAGGGCTACACATCCTATGACAAATGTGTTAACCAAACTTCCATTTAATTGTGTAGCTATTTCACTGAGGACAACAGAAAGAAAGACATATAATTATTTGCCTGATGGACAGAGACATGTCAGAATATAAAGTACAAATAAGTATCATTCACAAAAAAATTCATCCTTCTAAAATGGCAGCATGCACATACAGTGTCATAGAAGTAAAACTTTGTAAACACTGTTAAATTTTAACAAACATTCTCAAAATTCATCTCAGTTACATTATCAGAAAACAAATGTAGTACAATGAGGGAAAAAACGATTTATCATTTAATTTACCTAAAGGCTCTCTTACAGAACTGAATAGTACAATTTTACAGGAGATGAATAAACAGTGGATTGAAATGGAAAGGGGATATATTCTATTAAGACATTAAATTAATTTTGGACAATTATTAATATCTACTTCTAGAATTTTATAGGAGGTGAATAAACAGTGGATTGAAAGGGAAAAGGGATATATTCTATTAAGACATTAAATTATTTTTGGACAATTATTAATATCTATTTTTAGAAATGTTAAAAAAAAAGCATTTTTTTGCCAGAAATGCAAGTAAGGCTGCTACAGATCAGAGCTACTGGTCATATACTTCAGAAATGAACAAATAGGTAATCAGTTACCAGAAAATTTGGGAGAAAAAGTAGCTTTAATTAACAAGCCTGCTAGATTATGAGGATATTATTGGGGGGTTCTTTTTTTCTTTTTTAATGGGCCATACTAAAAATCATGTGATTCTAGGAAAGTAAGATTCAGATATATTTGTTTGGAACTGGAGGGGGAACAGGCAAAAAGTAACAAGCATTGCAGCATTGAATCTCACAAGTAAATAAACACCCAAAGACAGGTTTACATAGGAACATGAAGGACAGTGGAACCAGCAATGTGAATTGCAAAGAAAAGAGATCTGGAACCACTGGAGGTGCCCAGAGGACCAAGTAACATGGCCAAGACAGCAAGAGTGGCAGAAGGTATGGAAGGAAATGAGACCTAATCTCAAACACATCATCTACCACTATTGCTTCATTCACCAGACACAAAACAAAACTTGCATGCTCCCTGTTGGCATTTCTGGAACTGACACACTTCATACAGTCTTAAAAATTACCATTTACCATATGTTCATGGTAATACTTTCATGTCTTTTTCCTCATCTATGCATTTCATACCAGGCCAACATACAACGTTGTTGACAAATTTCATTCCCCAGTTTTATTTCTTTCACTTCCTTCAAGTTATCTTCTAGCTCACTGCTCTGTAAATGTCTAATATATGTTCTCCTTATCTGGAAAGGTTTTTAATTGCTAACCTATATTATAAATTTTTCCATATCTCCTCCTGACTCCTTCCTTTTTTAACTCACATTCATTTTTTCCACTTCTGATTCCAAAATCTTCTAGTATTCTACATGTTACAATGGTAATAATGTGCCTACCTTCAATTCCCAACTATCTTCTCTCTTGGAGAATAAACTGTTGACTTTTAGGCTTAGGAAGAATTATCCTATCATGTTTCCACAAATTTACCTGCATCTATATTATAAGGTTGGGAAGCTTACTAAAGAGCTTTATTGCCAACACTGAGGTATATGGACTAAAGACAGATGGACAGAAAAGCAGAGAATCAGAAGAAAAAGAAAAAAAAAGTATCCTCTTGGTTTCACAACAAAACAATAATTACATTTCTTTCTTTCCAACCTTTAGTATATTAATACAAAACCAAATTATTACCACAAACAGCACAGCAAAATAACACAAAACTGCTTTTATAATTGCCAGAATTTCAATTACATAAAGAATAAGACAATAAAAAAATCCTAAAAAAAATGTAAAAAAATTATGTGCATAGTTTTCTTCTGATGATGTAAAGACCAAATTTCACAGTGATGAATACTTTTAATCCAGAGAAAATTGAGAAAATATTACTCTTCATCAAAATGTGTTCTTCATACAAATAATTCTGGTAACATACACTCCTCATAAAACTCTGAGCTCAACTTCAGAAAGGAATAGTACAAAGAAGCATTTGAAAATCCTGATTTAGATCCTGTTGAAAAAAATTTTGTTTGAAAGCGCAAAAGCTGATCTTCAGCAGTCATAAAGGAATGGATCGTAACATCTATCTCTCAGTGACTGGCTTTTAAAAAAATAAATATGCTGTGGTAGACTTTATATATTTTATATAAAAATACATAATTGTGACTGGTTTTAGTTTTAAATATGCATATTTACTAATTGTTACCGATTTTATATTTATATATTCTCACATTTTACTAAATCAGGGACACTGAGAAATGACAGGTTTTTTAAAATTAGTCAGGGAATTATACATTTTCAGAACCACATGCAATCCAGTACAAGTTGTCATAAGAACAGAAGTAACATCATGGATCAATGATCTAGTTTTATGAAACATGACAGTACAAGTTAGGTTTGCAAATATCAAGAGGACCAGATAACACTAAACCTCAACTTTTCCAGGCGATTTGACTTTATAATAGTACAATCTGAGCAGTGTTTCTAACTTTTGCACAATCTCTCCCCTCGATTTCTACTTCGGTGAATCCTTTTGGAAAGAAATGTTTTGATTCCCTTAATTTAATAGAATACAGTTAGCATTCAGTAACTCAGCTGAAATTTTAACTGCTGAACAGTATTGATTTGTTACATCGAAGTCTTCTGTATTGATAACCTGACCAATACCAGAAATTTTTTAACTTTAAGGCTGTTCAATTTAAACATTTGTCACAGCCTTTGAAACAGGCAAAAAACCCCTTCATTCATTTTTTCAAAACAAAGGATAGTTTTAAAGATCTCCCTGCAGTTGAATAAATTACCACATTGAACTTAATATTTAAATTTTCCAGGCAACAACAGGAAAATAAAAAGATCTTCCTCTTAATAATACAGATACTGACAGCCATTACTATCTGTATATGAAAACAAATCAGAGTTCCATTATCTTTTTTCCCTTTTCCATTGAACTGAACACAACTGCATTGTTAAGCTTTATTTCAGGTTTACTACAGCTAGGCAAAGGCAAGCATGTGAAAACAAAAAAGTAAGAAGAGTCAAGAAAAATCTTTGTACAGTTGCTGACTATGGAAAGAAGTTTAGCAAACCTCACATAGTAAAACCTTATGTACTACACTACCGCATGCAGACATTTCTTGTTACAAATACAATCATCGTGGACTTTAATCATTCATTGGCAACAGTCTGTTCAATAGTCTTTTCCCTCCTATTGTGTAGAGGTTAAACAATTTAATTACTGAAAGACAATATACATAAAAAGGAGAGCAGGAAACGTAATCAAGCACAACTTGGAAAAACAGGCAAATGTGTCTGCACAAATTTATGCGATTTTTCTCCCTGCTCCCACCTCCTTAGAGGTCTTCTGGCTGTATTCTTGGAAAGTGCATGGAAATTTCAGCTTCTGAATTGTTTCCAAAGCAATGAAATCTCCATGTGAGCTTTTTCTTCTGTATGTCATTCAAGTAACCATCAATCAATACTCCAAGACAATGGAGTGAAACTTTTTTAAGTGACACTCCAGAAACTAGAGCTGAGAATCCATGACAACTAACTATGCAGCTTTAGTCTAGTACACAGACAAAAATAACATTTTGATGCCTTTTGTTTATTCATATAATTAATAACCTTGGTATGTTTGTTAAAAAAGAGAGAAGATAGGTTTAAAATATACAGGCTGGCTGAAGACCTAGAACAGCAAATCATATACATACTCTGGTATTTTGGGTTTGACTGAATTTTTCATTTATCAATTCAGTGAAAATTTTAGGGGTAGTTAATAAGCTTAGGTAAGTTACAATCTTCTGCAGACACAACCTTTGGACTAGCTACTTTAGAACCACTTTTCAAAAGACAAAAAGTACCTGTGTGAAGGTTTCAGTGAACATTTGAAAAGGTGGTTTCCTTCACCTTTCAATGTATCCCTTTTTAAATTATATGTTGCATATAATAAACAGCAACTAGTAAGTCCTTTAAAATGGGTGGCTTACAGACAGCAGTCTTTCATGAGCAACAACTTGGAGAAATACAGTTGCTCCCACCCCATAAATTCATTTCACAGACTTTCAGTGCAGTTTATCTCCTGATATAGTTAGTCAGACAGAAATCACCATCTCAGATTAGAGCACTTTCTCACTGAAGAAGCTATTACACAGTGAAGTGACATTTCATTTAACTTACAGATATTTCAGATTTTCAAGGTCTTCAAATGCTCCACTAGGAATTCTTTTGATTTGATTGTTGTTTAGAAGCCTACAAAAAGAAATAAACAACCATTTATTTTAACATAAAGAAACACTAGGGGGGAAAAAGGTGTAAAAGCAGGGACAATATAGTATTAAATAGAAAATGCTTTTTTCCCTAAGAGTAACTGTTAGAGAAAAAAAAAGTTATGTGCTTACAGCTGCTCAACCACTATCTTGCAGGTAAAAACCTGAAAGAATTAGACAGAATTGTGAAAAAATAAATTAAAAAATACCCAAAACCATAAAAACAGCAACAAAGATAAACAAACAAAACCCCAAACCCAAACAAAAAAACAAAAAGATCCACCCAGAAATGGAATAATGCAGTTTCTTGAAGTTATCTGTGATGTAGATGAAGGGGAGGAAAAAACCTTCTGCATCAAGTATACACATCAGTTTCAAACTGATAAAAGCAAAGATTTGTCACTTGCAAGTGCATTAAAGTGACTTTTCCCAGATATTTCTTAGCAATATCTTGTGTACTGGGCCTTTACATTGTACAGGAACACAACTGTCTATATGCACAGATTTGCATATACTCATACACTGGTTTTACAAAGAGAAAGGAATTCAAACTTAATGTATCCTGTCTTTATCTGAGACTTGTGAATATCAGATCAGTGATTTGGACAGTTAAAACTTGAGCTGGATATCTGGCAGAAATTGTAATTCAAAACTGGGGATCAGCTGCAAACAGAAGTATGACCAAAGGAGACTGGAAATAGGGACAGTTAGTAAGAATATCTTGGCAGCACAGATTTGGACAATATACATTTTGGGGAAAGTCCTAGCATTTCTTCTGGTGTGAATATAGAGTACAAGATGTGTCAGTATATTTGCCATGATTGCCTGCAGATAAATAGCGATCCAAAGCTCACTGACATCACTACTGTATTTCAGCTCATACACTACTTCTGTTCTGGGAAACAGTCACATTTGCAACCATAAGTTATGTACATTTTAAAGTAAAAATAACTGTCTATCTTAATCCCTCCTCATGCCTGCTAATATATTAAGGAAGAGAAACATGCATGCATTTGTTTTAAAAGTGATGCCTGAAGGAATGATAGAGCAGATACAAAGTTAAAATGATTATATTCATACTAATTGTATTACTGGCTGTAAAAGGTCTTTTAGAAAGACTTTTCTTCACCATCATAAATGATAACAAAGACCTCCATAAATGGCAGCTCAGCAGGAACAAAACCATCTGACTAATGCCTGTCCTGGTAAGCACATTAGAATAGGAAAGTTCAGAATATTAGAATTTGTCAAATATTTTGTAACTGTAACACATTTGCACATCTCAGCCTTTGAACAGCTTTCTTGTAACCCCATGGTTTATTATGTGATATTCCAGCAAAACAATTTAGCACCAATTTAGTAAAAAAAAAATATTACAATAATGGTCTGTATTTTTTCATGAAATTCAATTAAAGTATATTAGTAAAATACTAGTATGCAAATAATTTTCTTTTATTTTGATAAACATACACGAGTTTTTGCCTTCAAATATTTTGGTCTTAACCGCCACTTCTCCCATCTGTGTAAATGCTACAGCTCAAATTTATGAGACTACTTATCTGTGAAAAGTAAGCAAATATGACACATCATCAAACTGATTCTATTAAGTCAAAAGGGAAAGGGTCTTAGGGTTGAAAAAGGACTTACAGTGTGTTCAGGTTTTTAAGCCTTCGAAACTCTCCAGGCTGGATTTCTTTAATCCTATTAAACCTCAGGTCTCTGTAGAATAAAAAAAGAAAAAATACCATGTTATTAAAAAAGCTTTGTATTTTCTAATATGAAAAAATGAACTAAGCACAAGTCTTTCGTGATGACTGACCAACTTCTGTCCATAAAACACAACACAAACAAAGCAAAACAAATCCAAGCTGTTTGACAAGTTTAGGAGAGGATTCACCAAATGTAGCCTCAGTGGTCAGTATTTAAGTTAAACCTGTGGTCATGAAGTATGTTCTCTTCCACAGTGAAGCAACTGGTAATGAGTTGTTCAGTATTTCACTAAATTGAATTCTGTACTTGAAATGCTGTTTGTAAATAATACTGTAGGACAAAAATGCTTATTTATAAATAAACAGATATAGAAATATTTGCATCAGAAAAAAAATCAGGAAAAAGAAGAGACAAGTTAAGACTTAAGCTATTTAATTCTTTAATTCTGAGTAAGGAGGTTTAAGTGCCCTATGTTGTCTTCCTTCTAAAACATGTAAACCCAGCTGCCTGAAGCTAGACATTTCCTTATTTAATTTTACTTTCTCTTATTTTTTATATGTTTCTACCACCTTCCATTTCCTGTTAGATCTATAGCTTAATGAGAAGTTCTCCAGGAAGAAGGAAATCTCTTTCTCAAGCAAAGTTCTGCAGAGAAAGCAGGGACAGGGAGCAAGGTGGAAGTGGAGCAGGGATGTGGGGAAACACCTTGGCTGTGCCAGTCTCACCCCTCTCTTCTGCTGAGAGCAGGCAACAGAGCTTCCCACCTCTGCCACCTCCTGTTCTCCCCTGGATCCATGTCTGGCTACTTTATTCCAGCAGCTCAAAATTGGTTTAACCAACTGGTCAGAACCAGCAATAAACCCATGCAAAAGAACCCAAAACAACCAGGAAATCGTTTTCTGCCTGAAAAGCAAAATGGACAGGCTTCTTGGGAGAGCACTCAGGTGAGAGGACTACAGGACCAGGGGAGAGGAAGCAGGGTGATAAGTCTGTCCTCTTCCCTAGCAACAGGCCAAGGATATCAGGACCTTATTGTGTCCGGCAAGCAAACAGAAGGGAAACAAATGGAAAGTAAGTAAAATCTAAGACTGTGATCACATATCTTAGAACACACACTTACCAATTGCTTTCAAACAGTAGGATATAAATGTGTCAGAACTGTCATCTTTGCACCATGCCTGGTCTCAATTAAAACAAATGTGCTCTGCATTTTAACAGGTAATATGTTACCAAAAGTCTCTCTGCAATTTGGTTAAAGGAAATACAGAAGAGCAGACAAAAAATCAGCTGCATCCTAATCCCATACAACCCCACTGGCTGAGGCTGCACCAATGGCAGGAATAGTTGTCTGAAGTCTTTTATGAAGAACATACTTAAGCATCATTCCTCATGAATCCACCCATCAGGACTTGTTCAGCTCTGGAATAATGGCCTCAGAAGGACTTTTTCTATGTTAGTGGTTTAGGATGTGGCCTACTGTTCATTGCAAGGAAAGAATTAGACATGTGGTTCTGTTTGCATTACACTCCACCAAAGTACTTGATCAGTGACTGGAAAAAATGAGGGATGCAAACTTCTATCTCTTATTTAGATGTGTAGTTAAACTGCCTGTAGATGTGCCCCTTTACACAACACTCAGCAAATTGAGGATTTCCAGATTTAGAAACACAAATTTTCAAAACCCTAACTTGTTCTTCACAAAAGCACTTATTTAGTTCTACTTTAACAGCATTGTTTTGCTCATCACTTTTCTGTTTTATGTGTCATACACATATGTTCCTGATGAGAAGGAGACGCTGCCTCTGAACCTCAGGTGCCAAGATATTCTAAACAACCATGGAATGTCATATCCTGCACTGAGAGAAGATACAGCAGATCCCTCTGTAAGAATCATTGGACATGACATACCACTTTACTTTTCTTGATTTTTCTAGATTATCTGAAAGTTTAATGGGTTCCAAAGGAGCATTTTAGTTTTGATTAAAATATTCAAAAGTGCAAAAATTCAATATTCTTGAATAGAATATTGGAAACTGAGTATTTTTCAAAAGCCTCAAACTACCATCACAATTAGCAATATTTAGCTCCTAAAAACCTATTTTTTTAGATATGAAATAATGTACATTCATCCATATGACAAGCAGGCCTATTCCTTACATCGGCACAAAGTCAATAAATAAAAATTTAACTTTTATGAACACAAGCAAGGAGCCAGGTACTGGGTCAGCAGCAAAATGAACCCTCTTTTGATGTATCCAATCTACTCTGCAGTAACTCATGAGGATATCTGGGGATAAGGAACACCAAGTAAAGTAATTACATGCATTATTACATGCAGTACCAGGCTGCATATAACATCATATATAGTGGTATTTATCTCAACTGCTAACACTATTGCCCTTCTCATATGAACTTGTTAAAGCTAAAGAACACATAAAATTTGAAATTCTACCCATTTATTTTCATTTTATGTAAAGATATGAGAAAAAGGAGCTGCAATAAAACACAGCATGCAAATTTTCTCTAGAGCACAGTATATTTTGTATCTGTAAGTAAAATTATAAAAAAATATATATGTTTTGTTCAAAGTCTACTACAATTACATTAAATTGGAGGGAAAAAGCAATGTTAACCTTACTAAAATGTAGGATTATATCTTGGTCCATTCTTTCAAAGAATATTTCCTTCTTCAAAGGAAGTAACATTTATCAGTGTTCACTCAAAGTATTTTCATTAATTTTCAGCACAAAATCCCCCAAAATAAAGAGTTAAACAGCTCACAAATTAAGAAGATAAAACTTAAGTCATAACCACTGAAGATTTCTAAAGAAGAAATCTGTCAAACTGTGATAATTTCTCTATACAACAAAAAAATAAACAAGTGGATAAAGGAAATAGAATTTACATTCTATGCATTATTACTTTAAGGGGTGTGACATATGCCATTCACATAGAGGAAATCTCTGTAAACCAAGTGTTCAACTGCTAGGGGAAAAGATATGCAAGACTGGTTACTGAAGTGAAAGATTGCATCCAACAGAATTGGCAGAAATCAGATTCAGTAGAAGAAAAAAAAAAAGGCAAAAACTTGAGTTATAACTGTCATACCATCATAGGACAAAAAAAAACCTAAACCCATTCCATACTAAACAGAAATGCCATTTCTCAGACTTGAAATGCCATGCCCCCACAGCACAGACACCATATCCAGCTTATGATAACAGAATGATTTCAGGGAACAGAAGAGCTCAGAGCAAAAGCCCAACAGCAATCGGAAATGTCCCCTTGAAGAGTAAATGGCAGGAATGAGGACTGTGTTAAAACTGAAAAATGAGTATGGGTAGCACAAATAGGCCATTATGGAGCAGATCTTCAAAGGCATTTTGTGTTGCTGAAATAATGTGTGGTCAATCAGCATGATGAGGTTTCTTGACCCTTTTTTTCTGACTAGTTCCGGCCCAACTGTGCCACATGACTTTCACTCACAAAAGCCTGTTCCTGGCCCATTCAATTCTCTTTCACCTTTTTCACTGCTGTCCATTTCACTCTTACAAACTGACATATCCTGGCTGGATGCTGTGCTTTGGACCAGAGCAAGCCTGACTCCCACTGACCAGCCAGAGCGCACCAGGAGGTTAAAACAGCAGACTCAGGAAAGCCACTCGGTTGTCACTGTCATTTTTCCCTCTCCTAATCTCTACACAGTAAATGAAATGACCAATTAAAGAAATGCAAACACCTGTGATGATGGCATTGAATTTTAGGGTATTTAACAAATTTTGCATAACAATTCAAAACTAAATGTCATGCATTTTGTTTTTAAAAGAAAAATTTATTACACCTGATTCAGATTGTCTCTTTTATTTTGTGTTTCAAGGTGAAAACATTTACTTCTTAAAATTGTAGCTAGACAACATAATACAAGCTGAAAAATCCACTTCAGTCACACAGGCTTCCCCAGAAGCTAAGCCCATCATTTTGAAGCATGTCTTGCTTGAATAACAAACAAAACATGTCCATGATAGCCAGCAAACTGAACACTCTCAAGGCTTATTTTATTCCTGGCTGCACTCAGGAGCTCTGCTCTGCGCTAATCCATGGAGCATGACCAGGAAATGTTCGGCAGAGCACGAGGCTGCGTGGGCCAAGAACGTGCCAGGGAGCAGGCGGTCAATTTAGCAATTGGATGCCCCTGAGATTCACATTCCAGCGCCTGGGAATGGCTGTGGTCCCACAGCCCTGCAAGCAGCCATGGCCAGGACCTGTGCCAGGCAGGGTGTGCACACACACACTGGCTTTGCCAGCTCCCTGCATTCCATTACCTGAACAGGGCTCTGGGAAGATCTCTAAGGCCCAGATGGATGGCATGGAAGCAAATACAATATTTGTGTATGTTTCCTTTTCTGTCACAAAGCAAATGAGAAATGTGCTGCAGGCACTTTTTGTCTGGATGAAAATGAAACCTGTTCTTAATAAGTTCTTTATTTGAGCTAACAGCATCCATTTATCTCCCCTCTTTACACTGCCCATTTTTAATTTAGCATTGAAAATTAACTTTTAACAATATTTTTATTTAATTAAACACAGTGAAAATTTCTATGTATATAAAAATTAAAAAACATTGCTGTCCCATAAGATCCAATGCTTCCATGGCACATCCTGGCACTGCAGGACATTCTTTAAAGCTTGCACTGGCAGTGTGCAGTAATGAAAGATAGGGTTTCTCTTTTAAAACATCCTGATGGGCCATATGAATTCATTGCAAGTTTACAAAATAACGCTTTATAAACACTAAAGACCTTAATAAATATTTGGACATATGACAGTCACACAGGGTACACAGCCAACAGTACAAAATTGACCTTAAACATCAAGCAACTTACAAGAAGAACTAATTAAAGAAGTTTCTGTTTGAAATCCCTATGAGAGAAGGGATTGTTTTTACTTAATCAAACCACGCCCTGAACGTAAAAGTGCAACTTTTTTATATAAAATGCCTAAAGTGCACT